GGCAAGTACTATTTAGTTGATGTTGGTTTCACGAACATGCTTGGATATCTTGCCCCATTTCGGTCTTAAAGGTATCACTTGCAAGAATTTCATGGCCGTCAATATTCAGGACCTAAGGAATTGTTTAACCATCGACATTCGTTGTTACGCAATGTCATAGAAAGAACATTTGGTGTTCTGAAGAAGTGCTTCCCAATATTGCGGTCTATGCCAAATTACAAGTCTACAAGACAAAGGCCTCTCGCGATTGCATGTTATGTAGTGCACAATTGGATCTGTTTGCATGCAGATATGGACCCATTCTTTATGGAAGCTGATAATGAAATGGCCGCAGAAGTAGAAGCAGACGGGCTTGTTCGAGACCAAGCTGACTATGTTGACATGTCACAACATGGGTTAACGTACCAATCGAACGTTAGGGATACAATTGCTACTGCTAGGTGGCAAAATCATGTTGGCCATGGATAGAAAATGGATGTCAACAAGGCAAGTGAATATCGTACTGACTAATGGTTTTAAATGTGTAATTATTTTACTAATTTCAATCATTATGACACCTTTATTATTGATCTTCGCCTACTTTATGTAACTGTGATTTATTGACTTCTTTTATCTTTTTGTAGGATAACTAATACTGCAGACAACGATTGGGCTAAATTCTAATGAAACGAAAGAAAATACGAAGATCATCACATGGTCAATCAAGATAATGGTTTTGTTAGTAACGAAGATAATTAAATATGTTGTTCATGCAATGTGTAATATATAATTTTATGTATTTTATTCAATTTGATGGTTCAATGATGCATGCAAAACTTGTTAGTTTATGATATTCATTCAGTTTATGATGTTCATTAACTTTGTATTAAAAAAAATTTGTTCGGCATGGATACATGTGTTATTAATTTTAATAATTGTATTGCACCTAAATTGTATTTGACCTTTTTTTATAACTTTATTTTTTTTCATTTTATTAAATTGTTATGGATACATGTGTTATTAAATTGTATTACACCTAATTGCCATCGACCAATGGTTTTGTTACTATTCGGCCTAGAAGGTCGTTTGAAAAACAGAAGCTGAACAAAAGCTCGTTTGAAAAGCTCACCAATTTGCCTCTGTTGAAAAACTCACCAATGATTGAGAATTTGTTTTGTAACCCTTTATTTTAAATATATTTATTTTTGGTGAATGTCATAATTTTTTTAATTTTTGAGTAACTTGTTTAATTTTTTAACTTTTTTTGTGAGATCTCAAACCATGCCAAATTGTTTTTTCCTTGTCATTAAACAAAATGTGTAATTATTATTTTTGGTTTTAAATTTTATTTAATGTTTATTCCATTTTATTAAAATAATGGTTTTGTTATTAATTAAAATTTTGTATAATTGATTTATACATGACATGTCTATCTTTTTGACTTTTTGTTAAATTTTAAACAATTTGAAGGTTTTGTTATTAATTCGGTTTATGAATTTAAAATTTTTTGTTCTTTTTAACTTTTCTGTAGGTAAGTTTATATTAACCTTTTTTTTCCTTTTCATTAAAAAAAAAAGTATACTTATTATTTTTTAACTTGTTTTATTTCATTTGAGAACATTATTTTTGTTAATTTGTTTTATTTTTGACCTTGTTAACTTTTTGGTTTTGTTATTAATTTAATTTTTTTTATTAATTGATACACACCAATTATTTTTTAATTGTTTACTTTTCTCATTTTATTGAAATGAAGGATTTGTTAGACATTTATTAAGTTATTTTTATTAATTTTTGTACAAATCTTTTTTCCAAATTTTTTAATCTAACTCACACATTGTTATAGCATTGTGACTAGTTAATTTTACAATGCCGAAAAAAAAAACCTTGTTATTCGTGGCGTGAATACAAAAGATTATAACAAAATAACAAAAAAAAGAAATTCACAACAAAATGAGAAAAGAAATAACCAAAAAAAAAAAATGTAACCACTGCATCTGTGAACCATTTAAACTGATTTTTGAACAAGTTAAGTATCATTGTCAGGTGGTGTTGGAGGTGGAGGAAAATAGTGATGGTACAGCTGAGTGACTCGATGGTCAATCTGATCAATGCGGTTCCTTGTCACTTCATCGTGTCTCTCTGAGTCTACACGAAACTCACCAAATTGTTGAAGTAGTGAGTTCTAAGCGGCGACAAATTCATCGAATCAAGTACCCAATGTATTGAGCTGATTAGCTATTTGTTGTTCCCATTGTAGGCGCTGATTGTACCATTCTTGTTCCAAGACTAAATAATCAGTCCAGTAATGGGGTTGTTCATTTGGTGGCATGACATTGTCATTGGTTTCTTCCTCATCAGGTATTGGTTCATTTTCAATACTAATAGAGCCCATCAAGGTGTCACCACCACCAGCTCGTGTCAGTATGTACTCAGAAATTGGTGAAGTGGTTCTGACATATACTTCACCTTCAAGGTTGACATCAAGCGCTTTGAAAATTATGGTTAACAAAGCTCCAAAAGGTAGTGGCCGGCCACTCAGAGTATCCAATTTTGCAACCAGCATTTCTTTCAGTAATATGAAGCATAAATCTAATTTTTGTCCAATTTCGAAACAATATAACAAATAAACATTAAAACATGAAACAACATCATAATGTCCTTTTTTGGGAGTGACATTTTCAATTATCCATCGATGAAGAATACGAAGATGGGGTTTTAAATGTCTGCCTTGTAAATTAGTGTCGCTGAATCGGTTGTCACAAATTGTGGTATAAATCTGAGTGACATCATCAACAATTTTTTCTAAGGCAAACTCATTTTGAAAATAGCATTATAAATCTCCTGTTTCAACTCCAATAATTTGTGCGAAAACGCGGAGACTAAGTGTGATTTTTTTCCCCTTCACATAAGAAGTCAGACTGAACGGTTCATTTTGTTGGTCACTAGGTGTCAAGTGAACATAAAATAATTGTACAAGACGGGGATATACCTTATTTGGTAAATTAGTTAAAGGTAACTATCCCATTATATCTAATTTACCAAGCAAGAGTCGATCATATTGAGAAGGTAGTCTTACATTTCTCCCTGTAACAATTGGTCGATTAATAAAATGTGAATAGGCTTGTTCATGATGATACGTTAAAAAATCATTATTTGGATTGTCATGATGTTGTTGCTGTGGTTGATGTTGTACAGGGTTTGAGGATTCACCACGTTTGGGTCTGGTTCATTTTGTTCTTGGCATGATGATTGCAAAAGTGAAAGAATAATGTATGAAAAATGTATATTAAAACATGAGTTAAGAAAAATGTATGAAAAATATATCAAACAGTATGATGTTGGTGTGAAAAAATGAAACATATATGAATTCAAGGAACAGATCGGCAACAAATAGGGGATCAGATCGGCAACATATACGGAAACTAAGTGTGAATTGGTGCATGGGATGGGATGACCGGCCGGATGACCCCTCTGATGTTGTCCTGGTGCTGCTCTTCGATTGCACTTCCCCTTCCTACACTCTGAAGTTAATATGAAATGTGAAGCTAATATGAACTGGGATGAAAACTAACTTGTAATTGAATTCTTCCTTCACACGGATACACTGAATTTAATTAATGTTGTTCTCTGATGGAGCTCCTGAAGGTGTTGTAAGGAGATGGTGAAGATGGTGTGGTTAAAGGAATGCGGATTCAGATTTTATAAAAAGGCTAAGGTTCAGAAGGTTCACAAGGTTGTTTTTTTATTTTATTTTATTTACTTTTCATTTCTTATCTATTATTTTTTTTTTCCAATTTAATTTTTTAATTTAATTACATCCGTATACTAATAAATTTGCAAGTTTCTGGCATCATCTGCATCGTCTCCTTTTTTCTTTAGCCCATAGTATTGAACACACAGCTACAATAGAATAGGTGGTAGGTATTGGATAAGTGAAATTACTATATTACCCTTTCTATTTTGTTCTTATGTAACAACTTTTCATTTAAATCAACAGGGACAAAAATAGTCATTTTGCACACCAATATCACCCCAATTATACACATTCACGGCTGATGATTTGCGAAGTATAATAACACATGTCATGCGAAGTACAATAACACATGTCATTCCTGTTACGATTCTTTTACTAAATTAATAAAATGTAATAAAAGGAAAAAAAATTGATAATGTTTTGTGAAGTTTACGTTATGATTTGTATTTTAAAATATTAAACGTACTTATTTATGTTAATTTTTATTAATATGTATTCTCAAAAGTTGTTGACTTTAAAAAAATTTTAGAAAAAAATAAAAAATGTATTGTACAAGATGTTTGTATAGGCCTAAAAAATGAATTGATACAAAAATTAATTGACACAAAATAATTGACATGGATTTATTTTAAAATGAAAAAATTATTTGGAAAAAAAATTATTCAAAAAAATTACTGAAAAAAATTAATTGATTTTTTTTTTTTTTAATTTTAGTATTTTAAAAATAGTTTGGTTATTACTGATGATAAAAAATACGGATATCGATATATGAGCTGTATGTTTGATTATAAATTATTGATTGAATTAAGTTTTAAAAACTATTTTCAAACCACATCACTAAACAAATTTTTTTATTTCACATATCACATCAAACTTTCAAAACTTAATTCAACATATATCTTCAAAACACAATTCAACGCTGTATTTAAAAATTATAACCAAACAAATTTTCTACACTCAAATTATAATCCCAAAACTCACAAACTCAAAATACAACTCATATTCTTAAAACACGATTACGTAATTTTTCAAATAGAATAATCCTCCTAACGAATTCATGAACACGAGAATATTGCCATAGAAACCCCTACAAAAACCCTAGCGGAGAGAGATGAGAATTGCGTTGAAAGCACACAGACTCTTCACGTTCCAGACCCCTCCCTCTCTCTTCAAGCCCTCTGTTCTTCCAACTCTCCGACCCATCATCAAATGCAACAATTTCAACTCAACAACAACCACCCTTTGCTTTAGCCACCGTCAAAGAGCGATGTCGACGACGATTTTTCCCACCACCGTTCTGGTGAAGGACAACATTGATCTGACGGACAAGGAGAAGCAGATATTCGATCGTCTGCTACAGGTTCTCCGCCATTTCAATCTCCAGACTCAGCTCCGCGTCGCCGGCGGTTGGGTTCGCGACAAGGTCCGTGTTCTTTCTGTTTGTTTCCACGAAAATGGAGTTTTCATTGCAGTGAAAATCTTCTGTATTTTTTTTAAATTTTTTTTTATAAATTTTTTTATTTATTTGTCGTAATTAGAGGGAATGATACGTCTGCTCTGCCATTATTTTTCTTGAGGTAAAAATCAATATCAGTATTAGAACTTTCCCAGTAGTAAACGATGTTTGATTATCAAGTTTTTTTTTTTGTTTTTTGCTTTTTGTTTTGTTTTGTTTTGTTTTTTTGTTGTGTGTTTTTGATAGATTCAAAAAGTGGGTTTTAAGAGAAAATCAATTTCTTTCCATTCCCCCCAATTCTCAACAAACAGACGATCAAGATTTTACTCAAATTTGATAGACAGAATTGTCGATCTTTTATAATATGCACACAAATCTAACTGAAGAATAGCGGCGGAGCGGAGCAGAGTGATTTAAATACCGTAAGTAACATACATATATATAGGGAGAGTAGAACGGTTAAATGCAGTATTACTTACAGTTTCACTATTGAAGAGAAGTGAATAAGAATAGTATACAAGATGGTGAATCACTGATATTCTAGAATGGGTGTGAGGTGGGAGATCGGTTGTAGAAGTCATGCAATATGCAAAAAAGTGTAGTGTCAGAAATTATATAGTAGGTCCAGATGTTAATTTCTTTGAGATTTGCAGTTGTTTTTAGTCACCATCTTACATATTTTGCCCTTCAAATTAGGAAGTTGAACCTAATTTAATTTATATGGAAAAGATTGACAGAACATAAAAAATAGACGAACACAATTGGTGTTCTCCTTTATATATTGTTATAGATAGATTCGTATTGATGACTAGGCTCTTGGATAAATTTTGGGTTAATTACACACACCCATCAATTATCACTTAGTCCTTGAACTAAAAAATCATACATTTGGGCCATTTAACTATAAAGTTGTATCACCTCACCTGACACCTCTAGAAGTGGCATTTGTGTTTATAGATTTAAAGTTGAGGGGTGATAAGGAGGTCTCTATAGACAAAAAAAAAATAGTTAGTGGAAGGGTTCGTTTTGTACTTGTTAACAGCGATAGAAAAGAATGATATCCAAAGTTAAAAACTTTTCTTGGTTCTTCATTATATCTTCTTTGCTTTGCTATTTTCCACAGTAACCAAACAAGGAAATATGTTTCCGTCAGATTTCCCTTCGTATCTTTTGTTGAATTCATTAACCTGACAGATCCTAATGACTTTTTATTTTTTACTTTTGGTTTCTGTTTTAGGAAATTATTCAGGAAAACAAAAAATAGAATGGAAGAACGTAATGTAATTGATGAATTTTTAACTAAATGCAACTGATTTGTGTGTCATGGCGGTTTGTTTTGAGATGAAGTTTTATGAATTTTCTATTCTTTGTTTGGAATCTATAAGAAGTTGGTGTTTGTTCTTATTGTTGCATTGTAGTGCTTACTGAGATCTTTTTCTGTACTTCCTTTATATTGCTATTGACAACATGATGGGTCAAGAATTTTGTGGAAAGGTCAACGATTACTTGTCAAGCACAGGGGAAGAAGCACAAGGAGTTGGTGTCATCCAGTGGTACATACTCTTGTGTTCCTTTATGAGTCTTGATAAATGGAAGCTCCACCCTCTTCCCCCTCTTAAATATTAAGCTTGCTTATAGTTATAATATTTGAGATCCACACACACACCCACAAAAAAGGGGAAAACAGATTTAGTGGCAAATTATGTATGCTTAGTTTTGAGAGAGAAGTTTGAAGTGATTCCAATTGAGTTAAAATGAGGGAAAGGGGTATCTTAAGCAGTTTGCCACTAAATCCTTTTTAAAGGGTTGTCTAAAACATGAAGGGGTAATATCTAAAACAACTTACTCTAGTGATGCTTTGCGGGTGGCAGCGTAAAGAGGAAGAATTCTCCTTTCCCTAATTCATTCTATAGTTTTCTCACCTACCCATTAGTGGTTGGTCTGTTTTAAACATTATCAATTCCAGTGGTTGGTTTTAATTAAATGGATGAATATTATGGTCTGCTGCACTTTGTACATTGTTATTTTTGGCCTAATTACATCCAATTGAATTTTGTTCATTTATCAACCTGGTCCTATTGCCATGAACTTAAATATGCTACTTATGTCTGTTTTATCTTGCATTATGTTTAGCTTTTATCACATTGGTTTTTAAATTTACAGCAATCCAGACCAGTCTAAACACTTGGAAACTGCAAGGATGCGCCTGTTCGATGTATGGATTGATTTTGTTAACTTACGATCTGAAGACTACAGTGAAAATAGCCGAATTCCTACCATGGTATTAAGTTCTCTCAGCAATTGATTGTATAGTTTTGATCTTCCTATGAACATTTACAATGTATGAATTTTCTTTTATTTTGAAGCTCATAAGCATAGTACATTACTTTGCAATTTTGGAGTCCTGACTTGAAGGCATTATGGAAAGGAATGCCCTCAAAGGGAGATGACACCGAAGCCCAAGAAGAAGTTAAATAACTTAACTTATCCCATAAATCCTATAAATCTTTGAACTTGCTCTTCAAAGTTCTTCGATTACTCTTCAACCAAATGACCCAAAGCATTGCACAAAGATACATTCCAAAGAACACTGGCCTTCTTATGAGAACCAAAACATCTATAATCAATGAGTAGTAGCTGAATGATGCATTCCAAAGAACACTGGCCTTCTTATGAGAACCAAAACCTCTATAATCAATGAGTTGTAGCTGAATGAACACATGAAACTAGAACTACCCAATCAACCTCAGGTAACTGAACAATCTATACCATGGCATCATTCACAGCTGTGGGGCAATGTAGAAACCAATGATCAATACTCTCCCCACTCCTACACATTATGCACCACTATGGTAAAAGTGCAATTAGGTCCCCTTTTTTGGAAACATATCATTTGTGGCAAGTTAGTTTCCTATGAACCAAAGATCGTGAAAATATTTTAACTTTAAGAAAGGTAGAGGATACTTAAAAAATATCAATCACAGGCCCATTTATCTGGTCAGAGCTTTATGTCTGAGCCCCAATGCAACTGGTAGTGCTAATGACTGTTATCATGAAAAATATATCTCTGTCGGAATTGCTCTTTATTTATATCTCTGGGCACAACTTGTATAAATGATTATTGCAACTTTTATTTGTTATCATTGTCAATGTTTTATCTCTAAGTGGTGATCAATGTTAAAGTTTCTCATTATTCAATAGTTTGTCATGCTTCCCTAGTGACATCAAATTTTGAATATAATTCTATTTGCATTTGTATTACAGAGATTTGGTACTGCAGAAGAAGACGCATATCGAAGGGATTTAACCATTAATAGGTACGTTGCTCTTCTATTTATAGTTCCTGTAGATAATGTAGCATTACAACAGGCAAATGGGAGCCAAGTTGTCATTAGTTTTGCTGTTATGTAGAGATTATTGCATGAATTACACAATTTCTTTGTTTTCTTTTCTACTTTAATGGGACAACTTTATTTCTTGTTGGAGTCATATTTTTTGTTAAATATGAATCACCTGGTAGTTTTTTATTTGAGTCATTTGGCTGTAAAGCTTATCAAATACCATTGCTTTGACTAAATTGTAGTGCTTACTGATATCTTTTTCTGTACTTCCTTTGGCAGCTTGTTCTACAATATCAATACTAATTCAGTTGAAGATTTTACTGGAAGAGGTTGGTTTAGGCCTGCATTTCTTTGTATATACTGGGTTTTAACAAAATCAATCCCTTTCTACTTGCCACTGGTTTTTTCTTTTTGTTTGAGTTGGTCCTGATGTATATTTTTTTATTTGTCTATTCCAGGCATTGCAGATCTGAAATCTGGAAAAATAGTGACCCCTTTACCTCCGAAGGAAACATTTTTAGATGATCCCTTACGAGTTCTTCGAGCTATCCGTTTTGGTAATTGCTCTGCTCTTTATTTATTTGTTTTGTTTTGTTTTGTTTTTTTTTTTGTGGATTTAAAATGTTCTGTAAGAAAACTTGGAAATTAATTCACTTGCAAATAGTGTACATGATTTTCTTAGCAGAAATTGATTATGTAAAGTTTGATATTCTAACTGAGGGTTTTGTTATGTAAATCTTTTTTGGTGTTCTACTTGCTTTTGTTAACCATTATGCTATAAATTAATGTATTACCTCATAGAACTGTGATATGTTTTTTAGTGAAACCAAAAAGCTAGTACTGTGCAGTCATTGGTATACAACCTTGAAGTATTATTCGTCAATCCTGTTAGTTTTCCCTCTTGTTGTTTACCAGTCATTTAAGTAGATAACTGACTAGCATGTGACTTTTATACATTTTGATGGGTCACATTAAGGCCTCCGAATGAAGTAGACACAGTTCTCAATGGTATGTATGCATTGAGATGGGCAACTTCAAATAGTGAGAGGTTTGAGGTTAAGTCTTGGTACTTGGTGTTGTATGGCACTTGTGAGTTGTTGCTTCCTTTGTATGTGTGTGCTCTTTTTTATTTATTTATTTTTTTTTTTTTTTTTTTTTGGGGGGGGGGGGGGGGGTGTCTCTAAAGGATGTTCTTATGCGGGCAACAGCTCATGGGATGATTCTAATGATTAATTACTTGTGAGAAGAGGAACATCCTTTCCAAATGGCACTGTTTGTATAAAGAGCCAGAGGAATCACTGGTTTATTCCCTTTATTTTTTTTTTTGATTAGTGATTATTCTCTTATTTATTATAGGATGTTTGGGCCCTTTGATTGGATTTTTTATAGCTTGGGTGTTCTTGGATTGCAACCATGAAGTATTGACACTTCAAAACAAGTGCCGTATCCTTTTCGGACACACAGACACGGCAGGAACACGTATGGGACATGCTACATGGCGTGCCCCCTTATTTAATTAATTTATTTTCAGGAAACACTTTAGGAACCCACTAGGGACATTCTAAGTTGTCTTTTCTCTCATTTTCTTTGATGCTTTTGCTGAATGTTGAATGTTTATTATTTTTTTCTTGGATTTAAATACTTAATAGATCATTTATAAAAAAAATTATAAACTGGAAGTGTTAATTTAGAAGTGCTTTTTTACTTTTCTTTTTTTAAATATAGAATTAGAGATAGTTTTTGTTAATATTTGAATATTTGATTGTTTGTGGATGTTATATTAATCTAGATAGCTAAAAAAAATATATGAAAACATATTTTATTGTCGTGTTCCCGCCGTGTCTATGTTCCCATTTTTTTTGAAAATCACCATGTCCTCATCCTTGTCCATGTCCACATCTGTATTCGTATCTGTATCCGTATCTGTGTCCGTGCTTCTTAGATTGCTGTCAAATCTTTGCATAGTTGAAGAAATGGTAGAAAGGGAGGCAGAAGTAGAAGTCTTGGAAGACCAACCTATGTTTGGTTTGGCACATTTGGAGGAAGAGAAACTGTTGATTATTTGAAGAGTGGAGGAGCATATCCATATAAGGGCTACTTTTTTAGTGTTCTTTTTAGTTGGGGTGACAGGGTGTATACTCTTCCATATACCTTGTCTTGGATTTTCAAATACCCTTTGGTGCCCATTTTTGAGATACTTTATTTGTGGAAAACAAGTAAAGAAAAGAAGTTGAGTTATGATGTTTTTAGGATAAACTCAAGAGCTTATATTGTAGGGTTGTAGCTTTTGCGTATGAATCTCCATTGTTATTACCTATAATAATCATATTCTTAAAGATCATAGACCCTCTATGTTGTGTTTCTACTATAATCTTAGTTTAACATTTCATTATTTTCAGTTAATTAATTGAAATTCACCAAGTTGTATGATCCTGTAACAGTAATGACATGATACAAATGATCCGCTTTCGTAAATTGGGGTGGTCTTAAGATATTAAATCTTGGATCAAAACCATGATGTCTGCATTGAAGGTCAGAAAGAGAACAGAAAACAGGGAGTGGTGGCTGAGACAAGGTATATGATGTATCTGGATCATATAGGGATTGCCTAGAATAATGTTTTACAAACACTAGATTATGAACCTTATCAAATAGGCAAAGCATTGTAGGGTGCCTCATTTTTCACTTTGGTTCAATTCTGCTGCTGACATTGCTTTCTCCTTAACTTTTGTTTATATACTTCTCAGTTCATCCATAGCTTCCTTCATATTGCTTCTTTTTTGTCTTCCATGGTTACCCCTTTTTTTTTAGTTACGCATTTGACCTATTTCCTGAACTGTACCTGCTTTTGGTCATGTTAGGTGCAAGGTTTGGATTTACACTAGATGATGAGCTAAAAAAAGCTGCATCTGATGATGATGTCAAAGCTGCTATTGCAGACAAAATTAGCAGAGAACGTATTGGTCATGAAGTATGTTCATCTATTGCTTCTTTGATATGGAATGGTTTGACCCAATGAATCATTTTCCCTTCTTGCAGGCAATTTTTTTCTTTTTTTGGTCTATATTTAGCTTGCACAACTATTTATTCAGGTTATTCTTGTTCTTTGAACAGATTGATCTCATGGTTTCTGGTGATCAACCGGTTAAGGCAATATCATACATTTCGGATTTGCTGTTATTTTGGGTTGTCTTCAGATTTCCTCCTGTGGTTGATCCTCCAATCCCTCAGGGATGTGAATCATGTGATAGGTTTGTATATAGCTTCATAAATACAATATTTTTTAGTCAATTCTTTTGGATAATTCAGTTCAATGGAATTAATATTTCATTTTAAGTGGTAAGTACGAAACTATGGTGCATAGTTGAACGATAATTAGGAAAAAATGGACAATTCTGAATGTCAAGCTACACACACAACTAGTAGGTATTAATTAGTAATAAATTGGGAATTTTGGATGTTGAGCTAGGCAGCTGTGCATGATCATGTGAGTATTGGTATGTGTCTGTGACACATCTGTGTGCGTTATAAGTACACATTATTCGTCATTTAAATCTTATTTTTATTATTTCATTTTTTGCTGCCTAATTTTTTGAAAATCTGTGGCCTTGTTTGATTTGTTTTTGAGAAACAAATTTTGGAGAATTTTTTTTAAAATTTTGTTTGGTTTAGTGATTTTAGAAAAAAAAATTTAAAATCATTTTCTCTCTCTCTTACACATTGATCAATAATTTTTTCTCTCTCCTCTTTCCTTCTCAATCATTTTTTCTCTCACACACCTCTACTCAACTACAACAAAATATCAAATCCTCCCAAACTCTTATACTCCAAAACGATTTCCAAAATATACTACCAAACAAACCAAAAAAATTTCTATACTCTCTCCCCATCCCCAAAATTTTTTTCGAAAATTTATCTCCCAAAACCGAACCAAACACATCCTGTGTGTTCTGTGTTTGTACCGGCAGCACCCATATATCTATGAAATAAATAAAAATAAGATTTAAATTGACCCTAAACTAATTTATAAAAGATCCGAAGTTCTCTCCATGTGAAATTTGATATTTGCCCTTTTCTGCTTTACATACTATGCAATCACTAAGTGAAGTCCCCTTGTTAGGCACTAAGCAAGTTCCCCCCAAAATGACTGAATACACCTGCTTATAACCAAGTTGCAATAGTATCGGTATTTGTCTATGACACATCTGTGTGCCTTAAGTTCTGATAGAACATTACAATGAATATGATATCCATATTATTTTTCAAAAAACAGAAGACAATCTATAGGTCATGTATGCAGGTGTTGGGCATGGTCATTTGGTGCGCAACATGGTAACTATAAAAATCAAGGTACGAAGACAGAGCAGTGCTTATATAAGTATGGGGAGCTGTATGTCTTTATAGTTGTGTACCTATACCTTTCATTTAACTAAATTTTAACAATATTTGAGGCCCACCTTTCTAAAAAATAAAAAATAAAAACAATATTTGAGGCCATATATATTATTCTTTGTATGTTAATTTATGTTAGTTTCCAGTTTTGATAAAGAGTTAGAGCATTGGGTTAAATATGAAGTTACTTACAGTCAAATAATATTTAAAAAAGCAGAAAAAAAGTCGTTACACAGCTTCATGCATTTTCATAGATTTAGATATGCTCTCTCTCTCTCTCTCTCTCTCTCTCTCTGATGTTGTTTGTTTCTGAGTGATGTTTGTTTCTGTTATAATCACTCTATTCCTCCAAACATTCTCAGGATCTGTGTTGCTTACCTGGATGCTGCGTGGGACCTTATGCAGCTAATTGGATGCTCTACCTTCAATGTGAGTTGTGCTTCAGACATGTTTGTTCTTGTCCTACATTTTTCAGTTTCTACATGATTTTATGAGAAAAAACTATAAGTAAATATTGTTAATCAAGTCCACCAGGGGACACCCCAACAGCTTAGATTGCTTTCTCTCAATAAAGGGACTCAATTTCAAGTTTTATACCTTACCTATAATATATATATTGTTAATCAAAATGCCAAAGGGGGTGCAATCATATATAATGAATTTATATAAATTAATCTCACTGTAGAAATGTACAAACAATTATATTTATGCTTGAACTTTAATATTTTATACTAAAGTTTTATGCCCTTCCATGTGTGAATATGCTAATAAATGTTATATATATAGATGTACATACACACAAGTACATGCATGAAAATGCTTGTAATTTTTTTTCACCTCATTTTAATTTTGCAAATTCAATAAAAACTTCATAGCTTTGATAGTGTTTTTAGCTGCTGACCTGCCAACTGATAGGGGTGGGATTGGTTATTTGCTTTGATTTCCATTATTCAAATGGTAGTGTGAATTCTATATTACATTGCTTCGGGATTGTAATTCCTCATATTTTGCATTTTCATTCCCAACATGTGGTGGTAATCAGAGTTTTAAAAGGCTTTCTTGAGGCTCGCCTCAATGCTCGCCTCGCCTTGAGGCTAAGGTAAAATGCATCAAGGCTTTGATTTTTAGGCATTACTCCCCAAAAGCTTGCGCATCATAGTTTGAGACATGTGCCTTAAGTGCGCTTTTTGCGCATAAGCATGTGAGGAGTATGCACATGCAGAGGTTGCCTTGGGCATTTGTTAAACTTAGTCTATTAGATTGTTTAAACATAAAAAATTAAAAAGAATCCCTTTTTGCAACTATATTCTGCAAGAAAAATTAAGTAAATGATCAATCAAGAAAGACACAATTAATGGTCAAGTGAGAAGCTCAATTACTAAAGTTAAGAACATCGATTTCTCTTTCAGCGAATGAAAACTTCCTTCTATGCAGTAAAATGTTCAACGCATTAAAGCGAAAAGTATTTACACTTTTATATTTAATTTTGTTTTTATTTTTTTAACTATTTTAAAATATTTAATTTATTCAGTAAATATTAAAATTTGAAATGCTTACGCCTCAACGCCTTGAGGCTTACTCCTCGCCTCATGAGGGGTAAAACGACTCAAGGCACGCATTCACCTTTAAAAACTTTGGTGGTAATTGTTATTTTCATTCTTATGGAAATCAAAGAAGTGTGTAGGAATTAAAATTGTCATTGTCGTTGTCATACTTATTAATTTAGTACTAGTCAATAAGGTTATTATTTAAAAAATGTAACAATAATAGTAATGTTGATGATGATACAATTGAATAATATTAATTAGACCAAACAATGTAATATTAACTTTATGCTATCACTTGGTTTAATTAGGATGTTGACATGTTGTACAAACTTAAAATAAACTTCGAAATTTTCTTAAGATTGTGTACTAATTATCTCATGATGTGTCATCTGATATATGTAGACCATACCAAACATCTGTCAAAATGATGTTATGTTTACAGCAAAAGGTTCATCAAATCAGCCTGTGTCATTAGTGAATATATGATATCTTTTTGGAAATCCATTTTAAACTTAACTTCTATGCTTTATAAACTCGAGTTGAGTGCTAGTTGTTTTTGTGACATTAATAAATGAAAGAGACTTGACTTTTGGAGGATCAATGATGTTTTGAAAGAAAATATGAAATGATGGCATTCAGTTCTTGTAATGTTATACGTGCCCTCTATAACTTTGCTTCTGTTATTTTCATTTGTGGCCATACTGTGTTGGTATTAGGATATTTCTTTAGGTTGTCTTTCTTTCTTTACTTATTTTTTCCAATCTGTCCCTCATTACCCTAATGTTTTGAACTTGATAATTTGTTCCGTGTGAATCATAGGATGAACAAAGGAGGCTCACCTTTTATGCAGCATTGTTTCTACCATTTAGAAATACTATATATAGAGATAACAAATCTAAAAAGGTACAATCTCTCTCTCTATCTCGTGTGTGTGATGGGGTGGGGGGCAAACTTCCGTGTGTGCAACTTGTACTACACACGTATTTCTAATTTTGATCTTTTTGCATAACATGCCAACTTGCATGGATGTGCATACCATTGTTTTTGTAAGAGTTTTAGCACTCTAGATTATTTAATTTGCATGTAGTACTTTCTGGATATATACAAGAGTGCTGCTATTAACACTCCAATTATTTTGGACCTCCTATTTTTTAGCTTTTTAAAATTATAATAATAACCTCAAATGAAATTACTAAAAAAGACATCAATAATTTTGGGACACCACCATCTCACAATTAAGCCTACACACTCACTACATCATAAGTTAGGATTTGTGAGAGCACCCACCTCCATTACCACCCATTCATCTTTCCCAAATCCCACCTTCAAAACCTTGAAAATCCTTTGGCGGCAATATTCCGGTAGTAACGGTGGCAATCATTTGATTGCATACATTTCTCCAGCAATGACAATGAGTGGAAGTTTTTTCGGCAGCCACAATTCCACGAGACAAAAGGAGTACAACAATAAAAACTTCATAGCTTTGATAGTGTTTTTAGCTCAGAGGAGATTGGCCTTGTAAGGGCAAGTTTCTTGAAAAAAAAAATGACAAATAATAAAAAATCCCGAACATATGACCGAAATTCGGGAGCACAGGTCCGAACATTGCAAGGTTGTTAAAATCGGGATCCTAAGTAGGATCGGTGAGAGGGTCTGGTGGATCAGATCGTAGGATCGGATTGGGGATTGTAAGATCCTACTTTCTATTAAAAAAAAGATAAAAATTAAAATTAAAATGATACATATTAAAAATAAGGTGAAAAATCATAAAATCTACAATCCTACCTATGATCCTATACAATCCATACGATCTTACACGATCCCATGCGATCCTACATGATCCTACTTGCGATCCTGTTGAGAGGGTCTGGTGGATCAGATCGTAGGATCGGATTGGGGATTGTAAGATCCTACTTTCTATTAAAAAAAAGATAAAAATTAAAATTAAAATGATACATATTAAAAATAAGGTGAAAAATCATAAAATCTACGATCCTACTTGCAATCCTACCTATGATCCTATACGATCCATACGATCTTACACGATCCCATGCGATCCTACATGATCCTACTTGCGATCATGTTATAACATCATCCTACAACGATCTGGATCGTTTTGGCAAAGTAGGATCGTACGATCCTACGATCCGGATTGCGATTTTAACAACCATGGAATATTGTTTATTTGTTCGAGAATAGGTAACCGAACATTTCTTGTTTGTTTGGGAATATATAACCGAACATTATTAATGAACCCTTTTCAAACTTCAAATCACAAAACCTAGGTAAGATAAGGAACAAGAATTGAAATTGTTCGAGAATTCAAAGAAACTCACCTGAAAGATCACAAATCCAACCTTGCGGAGATCGCAGAACCCACAAAAGGAGAATTTTGAATCAACAACAAAAAATCTTACATTTATTTTCTCAGGTTATGAACAAATATGTGGAGATGAAGTAGTAATCACCTTCGTGGGTTTTGTTAGGGTTTTTGGGAGAGATTTTTTGGGGTGTGGGGGTGTGCATTCAATTGGATGGGTGGAATGTTTTCACAAGGATAATTTTGGTATTATTTGGGAGAAGAAAAGAAATTTTAAGGGTTTTAGAATTTATAAGTGGGGGTCCAAAGAAATGGGAGATCCAAAATAATTGATGGGGTGCTAATAGCAGCGCTCTATATATAATTGTGTTCGTAGCATGTGTATTACTGCAATACTAATCACTCAATGTGCTATGTTTGTCATTGAACATCATTTGTGTCAATGATATGAACCATGACCTAGAATTGTTTTATAAGTATTATCACAAAGAAGGTTGATTCTTTGAGCTTGTTGGATTTTTGATACCTAACAAGTGATAATTTTGATATTAGTGAATTGTTTTTTCTTTCAAATATTGGTTTGGCATTGGATGATAGATTTTTTATTTTTTAAATAATTCTATGTACTCACTATGCATGTATGAGGGCCATTTTGGTTGAAAATTTCATACTAATGCTTCTATAAGCCTCCTTTCAAAATATGGGTAAACTTACAATTCATTCCTCGTTCCCTCAGTGGAGATGGAGTTCTGCAAATTCTCCTTGGAACTGGCATTTTCTTTTATTTTCTAACCCCATGTTCAAGACTAAGGATGTGTCTGCTCTACAGGTTCCTGTTGTCAATTACATCTTTCGCAACTCTCTCAAGCTAAAGGCCAGCGATGCTGAAACAGTTAGTTTTGATCTATGGAATTTTAGTTCCTGACATATATCATGTTTGTTGATTGATCCTTACCAATTTTGATATTCGTTCCTAAAATTTTCTAACTTGGTCACTGCATTCTCTTCTGTAGGTTATAAATGTGCACAATGCTACTAAGAAGTTCATATCTTTGATTCCTTTTATTACATCTGATAATGAGGACATACAAATTGCTGAAGTTGATTGGGGAAGAGAGATTCTTGATGTTCCTGTTGCTTCAAAGCTGCGCATATTGGCTGGTATCAAGTTTGTTTTTTTATTTCTACCAAACACAAGCACCTGTACCAATTGGGACTTTAATCCTGCACTTCTTCCTGTTTTGTTTATTTATTTTTTCAGAGGTGGGGGATGTGATATTGACTGTGCAGTGGTGATTGCTGGCAGAATACATACATTCAAACTTGTGTTTTGTTTGTTTTTTTTCCCCCTTTTTTGCTTGCTGCACAAGAGGTGGAAAATGTGGGAGGCATTACCATTGATACATTTCACATATAGGGGGACAACGAGGGATTAATTTAGGATGGCTGTCTTTGGTTCAGTTGATGTCTAAAGATTAGTATTCAGGAAAACTTTTGGATATGTACCTAAAAATTAGAGAGTTATTAAGGGGAACTACAAGATGTAAAAATGTGAAAGGAATGTCAGAAACTAACAGGTGGCACGTACATGTACTGCAGAGTTTAGAGGTATAGAAAAGATTCTATTCAATGCCACACCTTAAATTTTTTAATAAGCTGTAAGATTCCGATCATTTTTGACAAAGGATGCAACAGCTGAAACTTCTGACTGATGGTAATACTGTGGTCACAACATGTTGGGGCAATCCAAGCATTTCTAGTTTATTGGAAATTTTCATATGTTTAGTTGCTGATTTTAGTCTTCAGGACTTAGCCTACATGGGTGCTGTTAATTCTTTAAGAGGTAGTTTGAACCAGAACTATTATGAGGCACTTCTATTAAAAAAATCAATTGGGAGGCTATAAATGTAATAGATTATAGATTGCATAGGAACTCAATGACTATAATGTGTTTAGAATTTGCTGTTTCACATGAAAAACTTCGCTCTCATTTGCTGTGAAACAATTGAGATGATTTTTTTTTTGAAAAAAAATTGTTCAAATGACACTATCATTGAGTTGATCAATTAACTTATCGTAAGCACTTTGTCAACTAATTCAATGACTCTTGTTTTCGAGGTTCACTGTCTTATCTCCTCCTACATTATGTGTAGGCTTGCTTCTTCGAGAAATCAAAGACTTCTGGCGTGTTGCACTGTTGGTTTCTATGTTTTTATACCCCACCAACATTGATGTTACTACAGATTCATCAGATGAGCAGTTCAAATTGGAGAAGAGAGCAGAATCATTTAAGATGATTGAGAATGCGATTACAGAACTAGGTATTCTTGATTTCTCTTTTTATATATGCTATTATCTTCTTAATTGACCTTGAATTTTCTGTTAAATTGCTATATCTTATCATAGCTTGCTAATATTATAATATATGAATTAGTTGTTAACTCCTGATCATACCCTTAAGATGTAAGCATCATATTTATCTAATTGTCATGTCAAGGACACTTGGACATGACTTTATTTTGTATTTCTTAGTACTTTTTATTATTATCTCTAGGGTAAAATGATGTTTAAAAACTAAAATATAGCAGTTTATGCATGAACCAAGAGTCTCATGTATAGTTATTATATAATAAATTTGACTACTTATACATGAGTGCGTCTCCAACTTGGCATATCAGACTCATGTACTGTACCCCCCTTACATGTATGTTCAACATGGGTACTTTTCAAATTTAGAAGAGTATGTGTAACATAGGCTCCAATGTTAAAATAATAAATAGGTATCTGGCATGTCTGATAACTTTTGAGGAAATCTGTTTCACTTGCTAAAAACAAAAAAAGCTTTTGAAGGCCCACTCCTTCCCCTCTTCCCTGCTTACGGATGTAGTTTTGTTATTCAGGTCTGCTGTTTTATGGTTTATTGCTTTTACTTGACACAAGAGTGACCAAAGGGATTTCTCTCGGATGGGAACTTCTCTAAATTTTACTTTGATGATGCACCTAAGAGATTCCTCCTGATGGCATTGCTTCCTATCAACTACAGTGACAAACATTATCTGATTTATATGATTCTCCAAAATTGCAGGTCTTGAGAAAGTCTGGGAAATGAAGCCACTGGTCAATGGGAAGGAAATAATGAGTGTTTTGCAGCTTAAAACGGGGGGACCACTTGTTAAGGAATGGGTAAGTTTTTCTTGTGCCAAGATATTGATATGAATTTTGGAATGCTGATTAATTGTTCATATTCTTTTCAGCAACAAAAACTGCTTGAATGGCAGCTTGCCCATCCCTCTGGGACTACAGAGGAATGTCTTGATTGGATGAAGCAAAACCATTCAAAACGTGCGAGGGTGGAGTAGCTTGTTAATGCTATCCCATTTGCACATGATCTTGGTTGAACTTTTGTGGTTGATTTACAATTTTGAAGCACCAGGAGCATTGTCAAGTACATGTTTGCAGACTCATGCTGATTGACAAGCCTACATGTCTTTACTTGGATACCGAGAGCAGCATAAGATTCTCAATTTTTTTGAAAATCATTTTACATGTACAAATTTGCCCATGTACAGCAGGAGTTAACTCATCTGCCCTCAGGAAAAAAAAAAATTACTGGCGGGTTGATAAAAAATGAAGATGCCCCATGCTATCTAACCCTGTTTCGGCCTACTTTACTTTGTATGAATCCTCCAATTGCCCAAAACTTACATTAGCTGCTTAAGTTTTTGTAATTTAAATTTTATCTAGGTTGCAAATATTTAAATCTAAGAGCTATTTGATGTTTCGTCTTTTGGACTTCTTGTATTGCATTTCTTTTCCATTTATCATTTTAATTGTAGCCTCGGCGTATGCTATATTCGATTTTCTGTGGCAACAATGTTGAATAAATTAATCTATGAAGCCTATGTTTCTTGCCTACGTGGTTAGGGATTTCTCAGTATGATGCGAATAATAGTTTATGATGTCCAGAAGAATATTATTCCATTAGGCAAGAAATACAAAGGAACGTGGAGAATTTCAGAATTCATTGAGGATTATGCTTAACAGGGGAAAAATTAACAGAGAATTGAAGTTTAGGCATCAGAAAAAATGAAGAGGGAGAATTTTTCTTTTGACAGATCAGGTTGAGAAAATATATTTACCTTGAAAGTTGAGAATTTTTTTTCTCAGAAAGACCTCAGAGAAAATGTTTAAGAAAAAAGAAATGTGATGAAAAAATACAATTTGTCTTGCTTTGAAATTAGATGAAAATTGAACCACCACCAAGCAGTGTAAATCTTCGGTAATTGGCTTGGAATTGTTGATAGACATGAATACCTGAACAGTTAAAATCTAATGCTACTCACTATTGGTAATTCAACAAGTCTGAGGATGGTGTAATTGTAATAATTTTCTTGCAATTTTTGTTTTCTTCTAAATATAACAAAATTTGATGGATAATAGGCATTAAAATTTGACCAAAATTGTAGGGTCTTCACCATCACAATTGAATGTACGAGACAGACAAACCATGGCACACTTGAAAACATGTTGACCAACATCAGAAGAATGCTACTGAAAGATCAAATTATAAGACAGTTAAATCCAGTCCAGCACTTCACTAACCCTAGATATTTACTTACCAATGGGAATATTTTCCCTATTTCAGTTTCTGCTAGCTGACCATGTTTAGAGACCTCATCACTTTGAGCTGGATTGTATGACGTTTCTCTATAGGAGGAGATCCACAATTTGACACTTTCCATTTTCCAGCAACAAGCCACAAAAAATTACCAAAAATAGGCACCCACCCAAACCCAGGATGCATACACACAAAAGTGCAGTGAGCAAGTAACACAGACAGAGCATCGAAAAGAGTAAAACTGACTCCATGGGATTCCAGACAGCACAAAATTTCTACTGAGGCCCAGATCAATCATCAACTATATTCACCATTAAAGACTACAAAGTCAAACAAAAATAAACACGGCATGAAACACTCTTCATTACACTCTGTAAACATTTGACAACACAAACCGCAAGACCCATAATTATCAACTGAGTTCAAGAAAATCAACACAAGCCGTATTCTACAATGTACAAACAGTGCGTAACACATCAGCTTAGGAATAATCTCTCATAATCAAGCAACATATGTCACATCAGAAGGACCCAAATCAATGTCATGTGTAGAGAAGTGTGAAATACAGATCAAAGGAACTCAACCACAATTTGCTCACCTCTCTCCCAATTGAGCTTTGGCAATAAGAGTAAAAAGTTTGAATCAACATCCCGGAAGAGATTGAGCAGAAGCAAATGGAGAAAAGCTTGCAGCTGACTCGCTACAATGCAGCGGGTGTGGCTGATGACTTGAAGACCCAACATAACTTGAAGCATTGCCCGGACTAGGACTAGGAATATATGGAGACATATATCTAGAATTAAGAGGCGATGCAGATGGGTAACCCATTGAGAGTGGAGAAACTAAATAGGAAGAAGCGTGAGATCTTTGAGAAGACGCGTTTCTAAGGTCTACTGAGCTTCGACTAGCACTTAAGTAAGGGGATTGGCGATAGGTTTGAAGAGACTGCTGCATATAAGGAGTGCTAGAAACTGAAGGGGACCGAGATGAAGCTGGGGCTATCTGTATGGCTGAAGATGATGCTAAAGATGATCTTACGGATGACAATACCGAAGATGAAGCAACAGAAGCCGGGCTTGACGAAAGCAACGGTGTGCGTTCTGATGCCGGTGGATCGCCTGTGCTAGTTCTGGCATCGCGTTTGCAGACAGGGCAAAAGGTTCTCCATGTGGTTAGCCAAGCATCAACACAAAACGCATGAAATTCTGTCAAAATTCAAAGATCAAGTTATAATGAAAATTGACATAAGATGATCAACAAAATGATTTAGATAACATATGAATTTGGAAATGGTATAGATTTTTTTAAACCATCACCTCGCCCAATTAATTTCCTTGTACTCAGTACTATCATAAATTTCAATTATTTCACTAAGCAGAGCCAACAAAGAAGCATATAGGCCTGACTTACTTGAACCAGATTAGTCAATGAGCAAGTTTATCAAACACAATTCTTTTATCAGATAATGTAGAATGAAAGCTGGTGTGTTCGGTAGATAGACCAACACAGCCCCTTTAATGCCACCTCCACATCAGAAATGGCTTTGACACGTGTCAGGAACCAAATGCAAGGAGCTTAACTCACTGAGTTGTTGTGGCATGAATTTAGAGTTACTTCTTGGTCAGTCTTAAGACAAAACCATGTGGTGTGAATATGGTGATCTCTATTTTTGCGTGGAATGGGTGATGTCTGGCTCAATCAGATCTCTCTTTTCAGCATTGAGTAAAGGTTGTCCTAGGAGAAGCTTTAGGAAGGGCTATTCCATGTTCAGTGCGTATGGAATGAGAGAAATAGGATGTCCTATTGGGCATTCTATCATTTGTTTGAAAGGCTCTTCTTGTCTCATTTTTTTTGGCTGAGGGAAACTTTTTCCTTATAGAAGAGGAGAGGAGAGTTTTGCTTTCTGAATATTTCTTGTGTACAGGGTTGCCCCTTCTTGTGGTGCTTCTTTAGTAAATGTTTACTTAAACCAAAAAAAATATTGCTGAATAGATTTCTAGTCAAAAGTAGTTTCGTAGTTGACAGATTTGTTAAACATCGAGCGTAGTATATGTCCATGAGTCTAATTTTGGATGCAAGGTGTAGAATATTCTCAGAGGCCATAATTTTTTTCAGTTTCCTGCTTTAAAGTCTTAATCCTTGTACTAGGAGTCTAGCAGACCCTATCAGACTATATATATATATATAAATTTGAGATTGTATCCATGAGTTTGCTTTGACCCTGGTGTAGGTCTACCTGGCTTAGGAAACAAGGACAACCTCAGCCTTCACACAGTACCATTCATAACTCCTAAATAACACATTGACCTTATCAAGGAAGTCAAAGGAATTGATGAGAATAGAGTCAAATTTCAAGATCATAACAAATCTAATGATGTTCTTTGTTTATTGTCACCAAAAAAAAATAAAATAAAATAAAAAAATAAAATAAAATAAAAAATTGATGTTCTTAATTTGCAAACTAATCGAATTTTCCTTCATCATTCCAAATTGATTAAACAGCATTGCAAAAAAGAATGGTATGCTGTCTTTTTTTTTTAATCCAAAAGTGTTGATCATATTGAACCAATTTTGGAACTTCAACCCTTTAAAAGTATATGAATCATAAAGTTGTGGCTCCTTATCCAATATGAAAAACTCAAGGTTAAGTTTCTCAATTATGCGGGAGAATTATGAAGAGCTTGATGACAAAAAAATGGGCAAATCAAGAATTTCACATTGAGCGTACTTTGAAAAAAATGAATTAATTATATGTTTTTTAAGTTACCATGACACTGGAAAGATTATTATTAACGCTTTATTAGGTTGTAATAATTGTGTAGTTTCAAATGCCAATGATTGAGTGTAGACCTTTTTTGGGCCTTAAAAACAAAGCTTGAGTTCTTTGGGAGTGTGTGGTTTGTGCGGTGTTTTGGCTTATTTGGTTGGAGAGGAACACAAGGATTTTTTCGGATAAGAATGATGGTATTGAGAGCTTATAGGATATGTCATATGAATCACGAAGGAATTGGCATTATATTATATTTTGATTTGTTGAGTTTTATTTTGGTTACTTTAATTAGGGTATACCCATAATTAGGCCTTTATGTAATAGATTTTGGCAAACGACGATATTGAGTTGAGCATGAATATTGAGAATAAGGTTTCTTTTGTTTCTTGTGCTTGGCCTGTTTTTTTAAGTTGAGCATGTTTGCCCTCTTTTACTATGTTCTAACCCTGGCTGATTAAAAGTCTATGGAACACTATAATAAAAAAGTCTTTTTACAGTAGTCAAATTTGCAACTGAATAGGACCACATAGTAAGATTCAAACAAGGAATCCAAAATTCCAACAACAATATGTAAAATGAAGAACAACTATATCTAAGTAGACCTAAAAATATCAACTGCACCACCAAATGGAAAGCAATCAAAGAGCATTTTGTGGCTTAATACAACCATATGGCAGCACAATAGTTTATTATCATAGAGAGGTACACTGCCTAATAATATGAAGAGCATCCAAAAATGCATTGCTCATCCAAAGAGACAACAATTCAAACACCTATATATGACTTTCAGCAAGATATATAACTATTGAGTATGGTGAAATGAAGACTTACTATGTCGACATGGCAGTACTCTAAGCCTCTCTCCAACGTTGTAGTCTTCAAGACATATAGCGCACGTTGCTGAGGTACAATTATCCTCTACTACAGCTGTAAAAATTAGGCTTGGCATTGCCTTCACTAGATGACTACTCATCCCGTGGAATTCACGAACATGTGAAGCTCGAGGCCTTTCTCGTCTTATGCGATGCCTTCGAACAAAGAAACAAGTAGCAAGCACTGCAGACATGGCAAGCAAAGAAATAAAAGATATCGCCATGATAGACCACGCTGAGTTCTCAAAGCTTGGGATTATCCACAGTTCCATGTTGCCAACGCCAGCATACTTTGCGAGTAGTTCACCTGAAGCCTTGGAAACAAACACCGCATGTATTTTTATACCAGCTGAACTTCCTGCCACTACATTTTCACGTGGCTTGATTAGTTACTCTCAAAGATACGACAAAACTATATTAAAAAAAAAGAAAAAAAAAAGAAAGGCCCAATTTGTACACATTAATGTGTGCTTGGGAGGGAAAAGATGAACCCATAACCTCAAGGTTATTAGGCCAAATATTAACCATTGAAAGGGAGGGGAAAAGGTTAACTTCAGCCACTAAAAGAAAGCTAACTAATTCGGGAGAAGTGGAAAACAGGCAATCCAAAGATAAAATTGGGACTTAAGAGAAAAACCATCATCTTCAAATTTTGAACATTGGGTGTTCATCTTATCTCAATATGAGTTCTTTAGCTACTAACAAAGGTTGCCAACAATCAAGAAAGGGTGAAAAAGAATCACTTAGATAACTTTCATGACCTTGCACTAGAGGTACAACAGATCATGCCTCATATCATATCCACAAGAAAACAATTTCACAACTTTAATTAAGTAGATACAATATTTATTTTTTTCTTGGGAGAATGCTTACTTGATATAACATACATTACATCCTATAAACAAAACAAAGTGAGACCAGATTGACAACAATCAGATTTGCAATTACCAAAAAAAGTATTAATGCCATAACATATCCCACAGGAAAGTCAACATCACAGTTTTCTATTAACTAGGGCTATACTTAATGAAAGGCAAAGGTCAATTATGCATGGATATGCATTAAATGTAAGATGAGATTTAGATCAATGAAAATGGTACTTTAGCTCATCATGAGAATTGGGCTAAGCAGTGATTGAGCAACTCAAGTGAACCGCCCTACCTTGCCACAACATAGGGAGAAAAGGGAGAAGGTAGTGAAGGTGGCGTCATTATCTCCATTCAAATGAAGGACCAATCGACCATAGTTTCCGTAGTGTTGGCAGATTCAGGAAAACGCATCAAGGGAACTTGTACATACCCTGGTTTGATCATCACCGCTTGCACCTCAATCTTGGCATAGTAGAAAAATGTGGCCCAGTTGTTGTTTCAATCTATGTTACTTGGACTCTTCTAAACTTTTGAAACACTCTAGTCAAACACTTGACAAGGGTATGGGATATGTGTCCGATATACCCAACAAGTACATATAAGTAAATGGATAAGACTACCATTTTATACATAAAATGCAATATTTTGATTTGTGAACATCATTTTACCCTTCAAAGATAAAATAAATATTTTAAAAATATGAAATATAGTCATGTATTGGTGAAATTAGATGAAATTCTGTAGATGAGATTTGAAAGTTGTTGATGCATTTTTAGTAACAATAGAGTCCCTATACTAGTAAATGAAATTTATCAAATGAAGTTGTTAGACTGCTTCAAATTATTTATTTACTTATTTATTTATTTTTCTGAATTCAAGGATCAAACACTAGTGTTTCACAAACTTCAACCTCCATAATGTTTTCCTTGTAGTTTTAAGCCTAGAACCTCACAAATACTGATGGCAATGGGGCAGGGTGGAGACAAATTGGGGAGGTATCAGAGGTGGGACAAATATGGGTTAATTTTTGTAACTGTAGGAATCTTAGTTCTAATAAAAGTGAAAGATAATATAGTATGTTACGGATAATGATTTATAAGTTATGAGAGTTAAAATATGCAAGATACTAAGATGAGGGAATAGAGGAAAGAGAAAAAAGAATTAGGTGTAATATTTTGGTGTTTACTCTCACTATATTTAAGAAAATTAAATTATATATACCATATACATAAAAAGAGATTTAATAAAAATAATCGGAATAGAGGCAAAAACATTCGCCTTGTCCTGTCCCACTTTCCTATTGGGGCAGGAAAAAAACATGTAGTGCAAGGCAGGGGATGTGGGGACGGGGTGTGGTAGGGGGGAAATTGCCATTCCTACTTGAGAGTAAGTTTTCTTGTTTTAATTTGAGACCCAAAATTGCAATTATGTGTTTATTTACTAATACTCAAAAAGTCATTGGGCCATATTGTAGAAGTCTGTTTTTAAGTTTAAAGAAAAGCTATGTAAACTTTAATTCAGAACAGGTTCATTTCATTCTTAGTTGTTACAGAAAACTGATTTGTTCACTATTTGCAGACACAAATTACTATATCAATGCAAGCATGAATGGTATTGGAATAATATGTCTCTAACTCCATTTGTTGTGATGGTGATTACAAAATATGCTGGATGAGGTCTACTATGAACAAACCTAGCCTCTGGCTGCATTCGCACAGAGTGACTGCGCTCAGGCTTGGACTCTCATTCTCAAACTTGAGAGCTACAGTTTTCACCACCAAACCAAGAATGGCCCATAGATCTGACTAATTAGGAGAATAAAAAAATACATTCACAAAGAGTACATCGACACAAAGTATTAAACAATATATCAGTATAAAGTTCTGCAAAGGAACAGACGCTTACTTGCTACCAAATCACCATCTACGTTGTCATGGATAATGGCCGCTTTGAAGCCAGCAGCTTGTGCTTTTCTAACTTTATCCTCAAAGCTACATGCTCCTCTGACAATCAATACAAATGGGGAACAAGTGCCCTTTATAGTTGAATCAACCTTTCTCAAGGGTGAGCATGCATCCAAAGGCTCAGCCAAATACAATGTGCCGCATTCCCCAGACCCTTTTACAGCTGGAGCTGAAATCACAAATGGAGCAAACATTAAGGAATGCACAAAAATTGCATCCAATCAGCTTAAAACTCAATACTTGCTTCTTGATCAAAATATGGCCATCGCCTATGTTACAAGGACCTGGGTATGAATATCGGGTGTGTGCGCGTGTCTAAGTGTAAGATTTTCATAAACTTAAGTCTTAGAATATTGGGATATGCATCCAAAAGTTGGGTATGAGTACAGGGACACGTCTTAAACATATATGTGTATAATATTTTTAATTAAGATGTTGTAAATTATTTGGAAATGTACTTCAAACTAAATGGGATTTATGGAAAATATGAAATTTGTATCTCCTATTCGTGTGAGAAGCTAGAAATGTTTATTTACTAGCAAATTGTGTGTCTTCATACATCTTACAAAAGTAGGGGATCTGAGTGTCTAAACTGGGTCCAGATGTTGGACACATATCCCTCACAACTACTCTTGTCATATCCAATGGACATGGGTACTCAAGAGGAGTAGAAAAGTCAATGTAACAATGGCCATCACAACAGTGATAAACTAATTCTAAGTTATTGCCATAACTTTAAAATCAAACCCCAGTTTATTCATCAAATGAATAAAACCTGAATTAATACAGCATAATAATTTGATAATTCCCGGATTTCTGACTGACTACAGATGACCACATCCTGAACTTATGGTTTAACTTTTAATAATTCACATATCACACTCAGGTCTCATTACACAAAAAAAAAAATGAACAAAACCTGACACAGATTCTAAAATTCCTAGAAAGTGTCAGTGCAACATGCATAGATGTTTCACTTCTCAATCCCCAAATTCAAAATTAGTCACTACAACGACAAACCCAATTCTAAAATTCATCAAATTAATGACTTTAAAGACTCCAAAAACTCAATTCAACAATTTGAATAGAAAATTAAGAGCCAGCAGAAACTCACCGAAGCTAGCTTCGATGTCCTCGAAAGACAAGGTAACGTTGTTTCCAATCAAGACAACGTTGCCAAGAGCCACGCAAGTCAATAGAGAGAGAAAACAGCAGACCAGCACCAAACATTTCGACATCTCTGATCAAATCTGAGAAATTCAACACAAACCCAAAAAACACGAGCAAGAGATATGAGTTCTAGAGAGAGAAAATTAGGGTTTTCCGGATCGAAACATCAGCTTCCATGTCTCAGATTCTTTGATGCTCTCTCTCCCAGTGTGATTTGGGGATTTTTACGGTTTCTTCGGGCAAGAAAGGAAAGTGCTTTAAAGAAAATTAATTTAATTTATTGCAAATGAAAATGGGTAATCAAATTTTTTTCAAGTGATACATATATTATTATATTGAGTAATGCTAGGGATACCAAATTTTCTACCAAACAAATGACCAAATGTCTCACATGGGATTCTTTGATGCTCTCTCTCCCAGTGTGATTTGGGGATTTTTACGGTTTCTTCGGGCAAGAAAGGAAAGTGCTTTAAAGAAAATTAATTTAATTTATTGCAAATGAAAATGGGTAATCAATTTTTTATTATATTATATATTTACCTTTCTCGGCTTTTGGGTAAGATCAAACTATATGGTATATGCGTTTCTGATACGTTGATGCTATGGTTCTATTCATGGTAGTTGTCTGTTTGTTTATTGGAGCAATTCCAATGGTAATAAAGTAAAATAAAAAGTTAAAATTATAATTAAAAATAGTTGTAGGATATTTTTAATGTTTGTTTCAATAGTCAAATTATTATTTTTTAGCTTGCTTCGTTTGGCAAGAGCTAAACGGGATTTTTTTGGCTATTTTAGCTACAAAAGACAAAATAGGTCATTTTAATCACAAAAAACAAAATATCACATCAAACTCATAATCATTACATTCTTCTCTCACAAAAAAAGTCAAAAAGTCAAAAAGTCCTTCCCAAACCAAACTTTTTAGCCCAGGCTAAAATAGCCAAAAAGGCCAAAAAACCAACTCACTTCCCAAACGGAGGCTTAATCAATTTTAACCAATGTGTTCGGACGTTTGGTCTTGGTTATAAATAATTGATTGTCTGGCTAGTCTTCCTACATCGGCGACTTCAATTCTCCAAATTCATCCATTGAGAGAGGGAATAGAAAGAAGATGAACAGTATTTTTAAATGATATTGTTGTGCTGGCAACTTTAACTATAGGTAAAACTTGTACCAAATTTGGTATGAAAATATAGCAAAACTATAGTTTAGCTGCTTTGATAGCTCGTCGTTGGAGAAGCAATACTCCTTACCTGATATGTAAAATCTCAGATTCTTTGATGCTCTCTCTGTGTATGATTTGGGGATTTTTAAGTTTTTTCAGGCAAGAAAGGGAAAAATATATATATATATATATATATTTATTTTTTTAAAAAAATCAAAATTTATGTATATTTACCTTTTTCACTTTTTGGGTAAGATCAAAGTGCAGTGTGAGTTTCATGGTGGCTGATCATTTTCTAGGGACATCAAGTCAATGGAGGATAAAACTATTGGGTGTTCTCACAAAATAATTATAATTCATAGAAAATTTTAAGATTTAGTTATTAATATTCATAAAATTTATACTGATCTTAAATTATTTTAAAAAATCTACACAAAATTGTAATTGTTCCTTGTTTTTGTCCCCTTGGCCTAGACTATTATCAATTATGTGTGGGGCTCTCTTTATTTATTTGACCAAAATATAGTATTTTGATGCATTTTGTTAGATAACCTATTATAAGATAATCAGACATTTGATTTAGTGGTTGTATAACACTCTATTTGGTGTGAGATTTCGGGTTCAACTACTTTTTATAATAATGGTTTATTTCTATCTTATTATAGGGTTTGTATATAATTAGTAATGGTTGTTGGGCTTAGGTTTGGACTTAGTATATTAGTTATGTTAGGGTTAGTTGGTTTTCTAACTATTGTAGGTTAGTAATTTGTTTGTTGATGTAAATATTTCTTATATTTATAATTATTCATTTATTGATTGGCAAAAAAGAGAGAAAAAAAAAAAAAGGAAAAAGAAAAAAGCAATGCTCCATCCCCCTCTGCCAAATTTTTTCCCCAAACTCCCCTCACAATGATATGGCAAATAATTTTAAAAGGAGAGAGAAGCCTTTGAATAGAATTAATTAGTTGGTATTATTTGTCATATTATTGGGGGGAGTGGGGGAATTGGAGGGGGGATTGAACATTTTTCAAAAAAAAAAAGGAAAAAAAAAAGAAGACTTAAAAAATTATATCACATCTATACTATTTGCACATCTTTTCATATGAACATAAAAAATTTAGCTTTTTTTCACTTCCCAAAACAATTCTATGGGTTTATTTTGGAAGAACTTTTAAGCATGACTTTTTGAATTTTTGACTAATTTAACCTTTTTAAATTAGTTCCGTTTAAGAAGAATTTTTTATTTTTTTATTTTTTGTGAGAGAAAAAATAAAATGATTATATTTTAGATGTGACATTTTGTTTTGTTGACTTATTTAGCCTATATTTTGGAAAGATGATTAAAAGTTGTTTTATAACTTTTAACTTATTTTAGGTCATATCATCTTTCATATTTTTTACACAATTTTTTTAAAAAAAAAAAAAACTAAAAAAGTCAAAAAAATTAACCTTTAATCTTCTTCTCAAAACAATAACTTTTAATATTTTTTTAGTTCCAACTTAAACCCAACTCACTTGCCAACCGCAAACTAAAGTCTAATATTTTTAGATTAAAAAAATTATAAATAAAAATTGCATCAAAGCATTGGCCAAGATCGTAAGACGAGAAAAAATAAATAATTGTCACATCTGATTGAAGTGAGAAATGAACGGAATTGTGTGTTTTCTAATTATTAGGTTTGGATAAGTAAAAAATTGAAGTGTGATATAAAAGTATGAGTAAAATTTATTTTTTCTTCTTAATATTTTAATAGATAATAGAAATATTATAATAATAGAAATATTATAATAATTACATAATTAATTAGTTTATTTCTTACCAAATCTCATAATTTGAATTAATAAATGAAACTCTTAAAATAAGAAAATTATATTTCTCTCATTTTTTTTTTTGTTTTTGTTTTTTCTTTTTGGAATTATTTATCATCATTTCTCACTCAACTTATATATATAGAGTTTTGTTTCCTTCCATTTCTCATCATTTATTTATCAAATTATTCAATCTAAATAATTTACTTGACAATAAAAACTTAGTGATAAGATCTAAGAGCACGTTCGATACAATGGAATTGACTGGAATAGAATGTTCATTCTATCTTTGTATTTCCTTTTTCTTATTTGGTATACTTTAACTAAGTGGGAATGCTTATTCCATCCGCCAACTTAGTGAATGACCATTCCATTCAATCATGGAATCACCATAAAATTTTATTATTTTTATTTTTTTGATACTTAAAAAAAAATATTATCATTTAGTTACCACCTTTTCATTTGGAAATATACTATTTTAGTAATTTTTTGACTTTTACGAAATGATATGCAGAAAAGTAAAAAGAGTGATGTGACAACTTTTAGTGACTTTTTGACTAAAATAATTACTTCCCAATTTAGGCCTAACACCACCGCCACTATAACTACCATCACCACCCTATTTTCACCACAACCACCACTATCGCAGCCACAACCACTTCCACCACCACCACCACCACCACACCACCATACTACTGATGTCGCCAGTACCACCATACTACCGATGTCGCCAGTACCACCACCACTACTATCACCACATCCACAACCATAAAATCACCACTATCATTATTATTAGATTCACTACCCTACTGTCACCACTGCTTCAATCGCCACTACCACTACATTACCACCACTACTACCACTTTCACAAACATTACATTAATACTATCATCATTGTGAGAACCACCACTCTACTACCATTGCTTGCTATCGGCACCACCACCGTTGCTACAACCACTGCCATCGCAACCACTACACCACTTTACCACCTCCACTAACGCCACAATGACCTACCAACATCCTACTACCACTACTATATATCACTACCATCGATGCTGCAGCACCACAACCACCACTTCCACAACTATCAACACTATCATGATCTATATAAAATTTTAATTTATTTATTACTAACTTGTTAAAAAATAAATAAATAATAAAAGCTTATTTCATTCCATTAATTTTATAGGCACAACCAAACGTGAGAATGAAAATTATTATCCTATGCCTATGTCATTCAATGTTGGCAATCAAACAATGAAATGAGAATGTATATTTCATTCCATTCAACATTGTATTCCATTCTCACTTCATTTAATTCATCATACCAAATATGCTCTAAAGTTTTGAGTTCGATTCATTCTAAGGAATCATAAAAGTGTAAGATAACGAGGACACCTGATTATAAAATAAATAAACAAAATAAATTGTTTTTGGCTTGGCAAAATCCCATTATAAGCGCCAGAAATGTCATGGCATGGCATGATAGGGGGCTTGATTATCTCTACTCGATGCGTTTTAATTAATCCGACGTTATCCTTGAGGCCTGGTGGGTGGAATAGATTACTTCATTATTCAAAATATCATATATTAGTGCTAGTGTGGGCTCATATGTTTTGTCATTAGAACATACTAGGCAATATTATTACCAATAAATTCTTGCAAATGTATACACCAATTAAATTATTTTAGGGTTTATTGCATTTTATAATCTTAACTTATAGTTAAATTATATATTTAGTCTTTAAATTATCGATACTAGATCCTTAAAGTATATGAATCAAAATTTATTAGTTCATAAATTATTGATTGAATTTATTAAATCTCTAAAATATATAATTCAAATATATTTAGTCCCTAAAAGGAAAAAAAATAAAATATCAAGTATTATAAAAGGTTTATTACACTTTATACCCACAAATTATTGCCAAATTATCTGCTTAGTTTTTGAACTATCGATTGAATCTACTTAGTTTTTAAAGTATATAAATCAAAGTCTATTTAATCCTTAAACTATCGATTGAATCCATTAAGTTCTTAAAATATTTAATTCAAATCTATTTAGTTATTGAAAAAATTACAAAAATAAAATTAAGCTTATAAGTATTATAAATTAGTAAAATGTCTTGAAATTTTAATTAGATAATGTCTTTTGACCCTTATAGGACCCCCATAGGTTTTTTTTTTTTTAATTTTAAAAATACTATTTTTGCTTTTTGTCTCATTTTAGTTCAAATACTTTCTATTGACTCAATTTTGACACTTAATTTTAGGTTTTGTGTTAATTTGATCCAATTGATAAAATTGTTAGTTAGTTATTTATTATTTTTTTACAAAAAATTGTCATTAAGTTGGTTGAGATTAACTTATTGAATTGAACAAGTTTATAACTTTGACCTTAAAAGTATGACATATGTCGCTTATTTGCATATTTTCAACAGAAAATGCTACCAATTATAATCAATTGAACCAACTTGAGACAAACTCATATATTTAAGATCAAAATTGAGTCAATTAGAATTATAGGGACCAAAATGGCACAATGGCCAAAATATAGGGATTATAGGCACAATTTGTCCTATAATTTGTTAACAACACTGAAAAACTAGACTCTAATATTAATTTAAATACACAATGAAATAAAACACATTTTAAAGATAAAATAAAAATATATTTTTTTCTTCTAATAAAATCTTAATTGGGTAGGTCTTTTACTAATTTATAGACTAAATAAGTTTGAATTAAATATTTTAGTTTTAGGAACTTAATAGATTTAATCGATATTTTGAGAACTAAATAGACTTTGAATTATATACTTTAGGGACTAAATAGATTTAATCAATAGTTCAAGAACTAAGTAAATAATTTGACGATAATTTAAAGATAGAAAGGGTAGTAAACCCATTATTTTAATAGAAAATACTTATAAAATAAAAAATATCGTTTTGTCTATCTGAATCCTATGCAAAATATTTTTCTTTTTTGAAAAAAAAGAAAGAAAGAAGAAGAAGCTAATTTGTGCCTGAAATTAACCCTTAAACTTTACCTATTTGTTTTTGTTTTCGTTTCATTTTTTGACTTTTGGAAAATAAGCGTGGTAGTACTGAGAATGTCTGGTTTTGCTGTTGTACTGCTGGTTGGATGCTGTTGGAGTCTCAATGACTTGGTGTTGTTTCTTTGCATTAGTTTGCTGTATGGGTGATGCTGTGGTTGGTTTGTTCTGTTGTTGATTTTGTAGCAGCCTTTGTTCCTTTGTCTTTGTGTTGTTTGTTCCCTCTTTGGTTGGTTTCTCTCCAACCTAGTTGGGTTTTGAGAGGCTTGAGTTGATGCTTTTGGCTCTAGTCTGCCCTCTTTGTTGATGTATGCCAGAATGTATTTTGTTTTGTTGTCATCAATAAAGAATTTTTTTCTGATAAAAAAAAAAGATTTTCAAATAGAAATAAGATAGATTTTGATCTCTTCATTTCATATATGCAATTGGGTGTATGCCACTGGATGCACTAAGGTACTGTTTGGTTCAACTTACTGTAAGCTAAAAGTTAATAACTAGAAAGTAAAAATCAAAAGCACATCTTCTCCAGCTTTTAAATAATAAGTTTTTCTCAATTTATTTAAGCTATTTCTGCCTAAAAAACTGTAAGCAAAAACTGCACTAAATAGTTTGGTACAGATTTTCAAATTAAAATAAGCTATAATTACCCCTATAATCCACATCAAACACCCTCTTAATAGCATCTCCAACCCAACACATTCAATTAGAGGATGAACATATATTTTTTTTATTTAAAAAGTAAATATAGAGTATCTCACTATTCATCTAACCTCCAACCACAATCATCATTTTATTCTCTAAAGATTTTCCTCCAAAATATTTTCATCAAAAAGTGAATAGTTTTTGTTCATTAATAAATATTTAACTTTCAATTTTTTGTTAAATATATTTAATATTATACTCATTTTAAAGGTATGATTTCACCCTTTTCAATGATATCAATTTTATAAAAATTAAATTTACATGCTAAAAGCTACTTGTAATATAATCAAAAATATAAAATGAATAATGTTATGGAGATTCTCCTCTATTTCTCATACTTCCTCTATATTTAGACCATCAACATATCCTCCTCCCAAATGGAGATGATTTTAGAGGGGTTAAAGACAAATTTCTTCAAATATGAAAATATGGAGGATGGGTTGGAGATGCTTTAATTGGCAAAATGATACGGAGAAGAACAGAATGATTGCAATTTTTTTGATGACCGGGTGATTGCAATTTTTTTGATGACCGGGTATTTCGGCTAGCTTATGCGCACATTGACTAATCTTGGGATCCACACAAAATGTTCCCTCCACTTGGATTGAGCAAATTTAGGGCAGAGTTCGCAGACGTAATAGCTCAAAGGAATTGATAACACCTAGTAGGAGTTGAACCTGAGACTTGGAGGAAGCATACCCCCAAATCTTAAGTTGCACCCACTAGACTAACCCCTTAAGATTAAAAGGAGGACTACATTGACTCTATATAGAATGTTGGAGGACTTAATTCAACGAAATCTAACTGCACGGACTTAGTCAAAAAAAAAAAAAAGTGGACGAAGTTTAGATGCTTCTAGCATGATTTTGCCTAAAAATTAGTACATTACATTAATTGTCAAAAGGAAAATGATTGGTGGCCCTAAAAAAGTTGCCCCTAATATCTCTAATTTCCAATTTTGGAAACTGTTTTCTTTTTTTCATTCTTTTTTCCCTTTTTTTTTTTTACCTAAAATGGAATTTCGGGGCATTCGAGCCCCGAAATTACGGGCCCTCAATCAGCACCGTTGTCAAAAAATGTGAAATTAAAATGATGTGCTCGAGTTACACAGGCTCCATGATGACCACCAATTCTTCCAACTTCACAGAAATTGCTCAATCCATTGCCAATTGAACATAAAAAGGAGGACTACATTGACTCTATATAGAATGTTGGAGGACTTAATTCAACGAAATCTAACTGCACGGACTTAGTCAAAAAAAAAAAAAAATGGACGAAGTTTAGATGCTTCTAGCATGATTTTGTCTAAAAAATAGTACATTACATTAATTGTCAAAAAATACACAGGCTCCATGATGACCACCAATTCTTCCAACTTCACAGAAATTGCTCAATCCAATGCCAATTGAACATAAAAAGATCCCAATTTTTCACTCAAAATTGATAATTTTGCCTCTTTAAGATCTATCTTGCAATGTAAATTGGCAAATTTCACTCAAAATTGATAATTTTGCCTCTTTAAGATCTATCTTGCAATGTAAATTGGCAAACATAGTTTTCACTTGCTAATTTTGAATGTAAATAACATTGAAGCAGTCGCTCTCTAAATTTTTACATTTACTTTGCGCGAACTGTTTGTAAATAGACCTTTCGACATAGTTTAAATTCAATTAAAACTAAAACCAACACCAAGCAACATCAATACCAAAGCCACCGACTTATGAAGAAAAAACACTATCTTTCCTGCATCATTTGGTCATTCGGAGTGTTCCAATTGGGAGGTCCAATCCAATCCAGTAGTACACTTTGATCTCATCTACCTCAAGCAACACAAGCCAGTAATCGTGGAATTTCACAATTTTTTTCATGCTTTGATACGCCTTAATGCAACATAAGCGAGTAACCTGTATCCTGCCATCATCAAAAGCAACACACCAATGCTCACTGTTGGGTGAATTTGCCCTTCAACATCTTCTTCAATAAACCTACAATTGGCTTTGTTGCCAATTCCACTATGGGAGCAACCAAGTAGTGATAATATATCCTTTCCTTCCCCATATTGGACATTAATAAGAAGCCTATAGCTGTAATATGTGGTAGATGTATACTTCATCCAAGCCAAGCAAGATGGGATTTTATGCACGTAAAACCCTCCTGTTAAAACAAATGCCAACATTGTGACAGTAACCATAGTAGAAGCTCGCTTAGCATCCATGATCAAAGCACCAAGAGCGAGCCCTAGACCTTGTGAGGCGAGCACGTAACCAAGCAAAACCAATAGAGTCAAAAGAAAAGCACCCATTTCAGGTTTCAGACTGGCCATCCAATAGGCTATGGTGATGAATATTGTAGGCAAAATGAGCTCCATGGGTAAGTCCCCAACTATCCGAGCCATGAAATAGGACGAAAGGGTGTACATACCCGAAGCGCGTTCCTTCATGAAGATGGCTCGTTCTTGAGGAAAGGCAAACACGGCGTTGAAGGAAGGGAGGACTCCCCAAAAGACTGTGAAAAAGAAGAGGAGGCCTAAGCGGTCTTCAATGTTGCGGACATCAGAGTGCCACCACATAGAACCGGCTAGTAGTGAGGCAAAGAGTACTTGGAAGACTCTAAGGGAGTCGAAGGCTTCGTGCCTTCGTTCCTTGAGGCTTCTATGGAAAAGAATGGTGAATTGGGTAAACCAGGTGGAAATGCTGCTTCTGAAGCTTCTTTTGCATTCTCTGGAAGTATGACTATGACTAGCATTTGTTAGAGTCTCTTCTGGGGCTGTAGTTGTTATGTCTAACATACAGGCAGATTTGACATGGGGTGCTAGCAAAGTGTTGTAGGAAGCTACAAGGGAATGCTTTATGTTTGGCTTCTCTCTTTCACTTACACCTTCAAGATGGCACACACCTGCGCATATATAATATTTACACACAGTTTAGTTACCATATTAATTATGCAAATTTCACACAAAAATAAAAAAGCAATACACACAAATCATAGCATCTTCACTCTGCACTACTTCACAAACTAGCTTCATTGTTACTAAACACTTAGGGTTTGTTTGGGAAGTGGGTTGACTTTTTGATTTTTTGACTATTTTAGCCTGGGGTTAAAAACCTCGTTTGGGAAGGATTTTTTTGATTTTATTGACTTTTTGTGAGAGAAAAAATGTAATAATTATGAGTTAAATATGATATTTTATCTTATTCGACTAAAAAGTCTATTTTATTTTTTTGTGCAACTATTTAGCCAAAAAATCCCAAACCTTCACTTTCCCAAACGAGCTCTTAGATTAACAACATAGCCTACTTGTTTTTGTTTGTTTTTTGTAAGTAGGTAGTGCAAGCGCATACTTGAGTGTAGTATAGTTCTTTACAGTGACATGATATCTCATTTGGAATCTTGTGATCTTTGATAGTTAGAACACTAATAATAGGGACATTAACAAGTGTATCAATAAATATTAATTTTAAATGGATTCCATATCTGAAACTCACATATTAGCCTTGTATCTAAGTTGATACAATCGTTGAAATATTTATTAGTATTCCTAATATTACTGTAACTAAAATAGTATGCTAAATAGTTTGTAACTTTGTATATTATTGCTCAATAAATGATTATAAATATTTGAAAGAAATACATGAGTGTTTTGAAAAGTTAGTAAAAAGTTAATTTTTTGACTTTTTTAGTTTATTTTGTCTTTTTGTAGGTAAGTTATGTAAAAGGTGATATGATCCAAAATGGATAACTTTTTATCAACTTTTCAAAAGACTCCACGAAATATATTTTAGAGCATGCATCATCTCTGTCTTGAAATATCTAATCCAACAAAAAAAGGTGCAGTCCATCCACACTACCTTAAAAAAATTAGTATCACCAATAATAACCACTATGCTGCCCCTCTACACTAACAGGAGATACTTGCCAAATGAACTAGATAAACTCTTGGGTCATGGTCCACAAAAAACAATGGCATGCATATATCTTCATAGACTAGAGAAAGATATATAGAATATAAAGAACCACAAACCCCACTTACTTTTAAAAATAATTTTATTTTTCAATAACTAGTTTTACTCTCCTAGCCAGTAATCAGGGGCGGAGGGGGGGGATGATTCGGGGGATCCTGGCCCTCCAATTTTTTGTAAAATCTCCATTTTGTATATATACTTTTGTCAATTTTTTTTTTTTTTTTTATATATTGCATAATATTCCTTTCAATTTCAATCTAACACTTGGCTTCGTTTGGGAACTCTCATTTTTAGTCAAAAAGTCAAAAAATTACTAAATTAGCCAAAAAACTAACAACCCATACCAAAAAGTTAAAGATTCTCTTTTCTCTATACTTTTTGCACATCTTTTCGTAAAAATTCAAAAAGTTATCCCAAACATACTAGTTTTTTTTGCTCATATTTTAGCCAAATAGTCAAAAAGTTACTAAATTAGCCTGTTCCCAAACGAGACCTTAAAAAAAATCTATAAAGACCCCGATAAAGTAGAATTACCTTTTAAAGAAAACATTTACAATAATGTTATGGTGATAATATTTTCTTATTATGTATTGTTTATCCTTTTATGTGTCAGTGCTATATTAGTATCAAATATGAGTGGTTAAGGTAATAAATAAATTGTGGTAAAAAAGATAATTATTCTAACATTATTGTAGTTCAAAAAAAAAAAAAATTGTAACGTTATTAAAAAAATTTAATCCGGTCCATGTTAAAAGAAATATAATTTATTTGTGAGTTTCTATAGTGTATTTAATGGAATCACTTGTAAAATTTTATGTACCTAAGGATATTGTATAATAGATTAATTGTATTAAGATTTTTTTAACTATTACCATATATTACCTTAATGTTTATCTATAAATTCTTACATTTTGACCTCCTTAACCATAAAATTCATACAAATAATATTTAATTAAGACTAATCTCTTATAATTATATTGCTCCAATTAACCTCTATTAAAGAATATTTAATAATGATTTAATCAAATAAAACTCTAATAAATCACTCAATAAATTTATTCTATACCTTCTCTTTGGTAAAATGGCACCCGATCGAAGAAGTCTTAGCTCCGCTCCTGCTAGTAATAATAAGTAGGACAGAAGAACAAACCAAAAAAGCTGACCAGGGTTGGTGTTGGTGGTAGGAGTCCACTGAACTTGGTGGTGCTTGTGAATTGCGCCAACACACACCAGCCTACCCCACCATCACATATATATATATATAATTTTCTTTTCCTTAATATTCAAATCCCAAGAAAGTTCACTTTGGTGGGTTAAAATGGGCCTTCCTATGCTAAGTATCCGAAGACGTGGTGCTCCCAAAATATTCCACGATTGAAAATATATGGAAAAAGGTAGTGAAAAAGAGACGCACAAAAAAGGAAAAAAGAAGAAAAAGAAAGAGCACACTTCCGAAGCTAGTGGTTGGACCAATTAATGTTTCATGCCATTGAGGTCAAATTGTGACAAGTGTGTGGATCATTCTATACATATATAGTAGGTTCTTGATCTTATCTTATAACATTTGGAAAGAAAAGGCACTATTTGCTTTTGCACATATAACAATTTCATGGGTTAACCTTCATCACAAAAGGCCAATTTGTACTACACACAGTGCAGATGATTTATGATATAACTTTTGTTATGAAAGCAATTATATTGAATTATAACTCACCAAGTTAATAAGATTACTATTCTTTTTAAACACATTATATGACTTAAAATATGTCATACCGTAATAAAAGGAGTGCACACTACAAATTCAATCTTTTTTACAAATGCTTAGATCACTTAGCAACTAGTAGAATTCAAGTATAAGTAACTCCATGAATCATGAGTCAAAAAAGTACACGGGCGATTACTTTCGGCAAGAACGCAAAATTCAATTTCGTAACCACAAAACAAAACGCACTTAAAATGCATTAAGAGTAACCTATCAATTATGGTGGAAAAGCCTAACAAGATTGACCACATAGACATATACATATTCATGTACATGAGCCTGACAAGATTCTCGAAGCCATTGTCTCCACCAATTCATCAACCCAAACATAAAATAATGTATTTCACAAGGGTTGCTTATCTTGGAAAGAATATGCCATGTGGGATGTTATGTATTTTTTTAATTAGCAAAGCAAAATTTCATTAAAAAATATGAAATTAAAGATACAAAAAGATGACAAGCAATTTATATAACCATATGCTCTCCAATTGCATATTGAGTGCCTACCCAATAGGCCAGCTGCAATTAAATGAAGTATTCTTATTGTCGGTCAAGAATTTAGAAATAATAGTTTGTCTCAATATAGTTTTAATCATATGATTATGTAAAATTTCATAACACGATAATTTCAAAATGCAATTCTATATAACTGTAAGTGCATTAGAACATACGAATAAAAAAATTTAGAAGTAAAAAATCCAAGGTCCTATTTGTTTATTTCTTTCTCCTTCTACTTTTTATTTTTTTTTAGTAACCATGACTAATAGTTTCAAGGAAAGTGGTTCAACATAGATGCTATCTCACGCAATCAATGGTGTCACATTCCCTTAATCCACATTACCATCATTACATCCATTAATAAAAAAATCAAAGAACAACACATAATGAATGTTGGTTTAATACTCCAAAGTTGGACATCTATTTTTAGCTTTAAAATATAAAATAAAAGAAAAAAAGATAGTGCCAAGTCAACATGCTCTCCACCTACATTTTTATATTCATTAATTAACTATATAATTGGATTCGTGACAATACCCACCATACCATTCTTAACAAAAACTAATTAAAAAATTGGATCTCTTTGCATAGCCTCAAACTCCAAATCCTAGAATTTCTAGCACTATAAAGATTGGACCTCCAAAGTATGTAGTGTTTTGCAACCCACATTAAGGACCCCACATTAATCACTATTGGAGTAGTAAAAATTGAATGGTTTGAAATCATTATTGAGTAATGTTAGAGATCCCAAATATTCTACTAAAAGTTTTACCAAATGTCTCACATGGGTGTGAGACTCACACAATGTGGGTCCCATGTGAGTCTCACACCCATGTTGAAGACCTTTCGAGCTCAAAGTAATACTTTTTTTTTTTTTTTGATCGGCAAACAAACTTTATTGATGGAAGAGGAAAATTTACATCAATAAAGAGGAGCTTGGAGCTATATATATATAATAATAAATAAATAAAAAGAAGGTCCTAATAAGTATGCTCCCTGCATTTGGTGAGAATCTACTTCTACATGAAATAAAATTAAAATATTTTAAATAAAAATGATATATGCTATGAAATATGAGTATTTCGAAAATGTCGCCGTACTCGTACTAGGTACTTACCTGGTATTGGTACTCATACCGATAAGGTTGCATACATACCGGGTACTCGAAATACGTGCTGGATACTTTTTATACATTCTTTGGTAGTTGGGTATTTCATGAGTACGTCGGGAGTACACCAAGTTATGGGACATTAGTGGAGGTACGTTTAATTTATCAGAGAGTTCTTATTCATTTGAAATTACAAATCATTTACTTGATATCTCAGAGATGAAAGATGTATTATTCAATGATGAAATTGATAGAAGTGAAAACTGAAATTTCAAATTTTCAAATTTTACTTAGCTTGCTTTTGGAATGAAACTTTGTTTTGTAATTTCTCCTATTTGATGGTATTAAAACAACTTATAACTTTGCTTTAGTATTAATAATGTTAAACTATGATTTCTCTTTTGGTTTGTAATTTCTCTTTTTAGTTTTGGTATTGAATTTTGATTTATAAATTGAATCTCAAATAAAAATTAAAAAAATTATTGATGTACCACAGTCGTATTAGTATCTTATTTTTTTAAGATCTTGCCATATTGATATATGTGTATCCACACCCACACCCGTGTTTCATAGGATATATGACTTGATCAGGAGCTACACAAGATGTTTTCAAATTTACTGACTAGTATGGGGTTGGAAAAGGGCACCAAATCTAATGCAGACTCCGAAGGTAGAGAGTGTGTTTGAACATCCTCTTCTCATGCCATACCATAATATATCCACTACAATAAAAACATATTTTAGTGACATTATATTAGTGGCACGTTCTTAAAAAATGTCACAAAAAGAATATTTAGTGGCATTTTTTAGAAAAATGTCATAGAGCCACAAACATACAAGGCTCTAGTGGCATTTCAATTAAAAAAAGTGTCACTTCATTACAACAAAAATGTCACTACAACAAATTTACACTTTAATGACACTACACTAGTGACATGTTTTTAGAAAATGCCACAAAAATAAAAATTGGCGTTAAATGTTTTAGAAAAATGCCATAGAATCACAAACATATAAGGCTCTAGTGACATTTCAATAAAGAAATGTCACATCAATTTTATGACATTTTATAAAATAATGACACAAAAAATTATGTTCGTGACATTTATCAACAGATGCCACTAAACTTTAGTCGCAATGACATTTTTTTAAAAATGTCAGGACACTAGGTAGGTGCAAATTACTTTTTATGGCACTTAGGTAAAAAGTTTCATAAACAAATATTTTATCACATTTTGAGCAATGCCACTAAGCAAAAACTTTCCAAGCTTATAATGGCATTTTTGAAAAAACAAAAAATGTCAATATATTTTCTAAATTTTTTAAATGCAGTAAATGATTAAAAATAAATAAAATTAAACTCAATATACACTACAGGAAAAAGCACATTTGGCGACTAAATTTCCTGACCAAAACAGCATTAGTTGCCAAAAGTAAAGCTTTTTGGCGATTAAACAATTTTAGTAGCCAAAAGTCTACAATTGGCGACTAAAACTAAGTTTGGTCGCTGATTATATGGGTTTTTATGACTAAAAAAATTTTTAGTAGTCCAAAGTAAAACTTCTTAGTGACTAAAAAAATTTAGTAGACAAAAGTCTACAATTAGCGACTAAAAATAAGTTTAGTCGCTGATTATATGGGTTTTACTGGCTAAAAAAATTTTAGTAGCCAAAAGTAAAGGTTTTTGGTGCCAAAAAAAATTTTAGTAGCCAAAAGTTTACAATTGGCGACTAAAAAATAAGTTTAGTTGCCAAAGTGGTTATTTTTAGCGCGAGAGAACTAAAATCCTAAGGCAGGAATTAAATTTTTTGACGATCAAAATTTTGATAGCTGAAAGTGCATCTTCGGCAACCAAATCCGATTTTGGTCGGCAAAAGTTAATTTTTTTAGCAACTAAAAAATAATTAGTAGCCAAAAGTATAGAATTGGCGACTAAAAAATATTTTTAGTCGTGAAAAGTGGTCTTTTTTTATTTTGCTAGTAAATAGTTTATTTTACATAAATTATGTTCAATAAAATAATTATGTTTATACATAAACTTTTATATTAATATGGATGTATGTATTATATAAATAATATATGTTGCATATATAATCATGTGGTGCTATAGAGGTGTAGTGGGAAGAGTGTGGTGTATAAGGTTTATAGTGCGGGAGGTTGGCGGTTCGAGTCTCCGCAAGAGCGGATCGAATTGTTCTACAACGAATTATCATCACGAATGGTACTTGATAGCGTCACGAATAGTGTCTACCATGACATTAAAGTGTCACTGAAAGGTTTTAGTCTTGATGGTGTAATGACACGTATAAGTGTCACTAACTCTTTTTTTAATGGCGTTTAATAGTGCCACAAATAATATCTACCATGACATCAAAATGTCATTGAAAGTTTTTAGCCATGATGGTGTAGTGACACTTGCAAGTATTTACCGTGGCACTAGTATCTACCGTGACATGGATACAAATGACACTTGTTTAAAATGCCACAAGACTAAAAAATATCATTAAACTAATAATTTTGTTGCACTTTCAAATGTCACTAAATTAAGAAAATGTTGTAGTGATCCCTATCACCAACCCATCAAGGGTTGGTATAGTATACCCAATAATGTGTGACTATAATTATATAGATCTCGCAAAATATACATATCAATGAACAATATAACATAGATTAATAAAGTTTAAAATGTGAAACAAAAGCTATTAAAATAGAAATTTGTTAAAGTAATCACAAGAAATACATATAATATTTTAAAACTTATTTAACATGTATTCATGAATACCTGTTAATAACACTCATTAAAATAACATGATAGCACATATAAAATATTTGTAAAATTTATTAGTTAGTATAGTATTAGTACTTCACATCACTCACGAGCACGTGTGAATTTCAAAGAAAATTTTAATATTGTATTTGATTGAGAGATTTGAAAACTGAGTTAAAAATGAAAGGAAAAAAATATATGAAATTAGGTAAAATGTAAATATAATTTATTCACATTTTATCTATTTTTTATTTTTATTTTTCTTTTTGTAATTCATTTCTCAAATCTTTCAATCAAGCACGGTATAAAAGTGAATAATTTTATTTTTTTAAATAACATTATTGTGATGATAAATTTTCCAATTAAAAGGAGGTGGATAAACTTTGGAATCCAGTGCCCAAGAATAGATCCCCATCGGAAAATAACGTCAGTCTCTTTATGGGTTTAGATATATCAAAATATACCAAAAAAGGAACTAAGCTTATGATCCAAGTTACTCTCAGCTAATCTTACGCTATATATGCAAGCATTATAACTTGCACATTAAATACTAGTTGCCTTTGCACTTTTTTGTATATTTTTATGTATGTCCTAATAACTTGCCCATTAAATACTAGTCACCTTTTTCTTCACCGTGGTACAACAAAAAAGAAAACTAAACACAGCTTTTGTTTCGGCATTCAAATTATATAAAAAAACAAAAGGAGTGATTTTATATAATTAAAAAATATATATACAAATGACAAATCCAATTCTAACAAATTGCAAAAAAAAAAAAAAAAAGACAAAAGAATCTCACTAAAATTAATGTGTCATTTCAATGAATGTTTTATATTTTGTTTTAAAGTAAACCGTTCAGATAAAAAAAGTCATAATAGTTAAAAAACCAATATAAATTATTACACTCTTTATTTTATATATATATATATATATAAATTAAAAAACTATAGTTAATTTCCACGAGTGCTAAGTTGGTAATAATGCCCTGATCAGAATAATCACAAAATAAAATAGTAATTATTCCCGTGATTGTTTTAATCATAGGTGATTATTCAGTTATCTGAAAAGTCGGTTATGTGTTGTTCTATGATAATATGGGAAGTGATAATATGGGAAGTGGTTTGAGAATTTTTTAGTTAAAATAGTTAAAAAAAATAAAATAGACTTTTTAACTTAATAAGGCAAAATATTATATTCAATTTATAATCATTACATTTTTTTTCAAAAAAAATAAAAAAAATAAAAAACGCTTCTCAAAAGTCTTTTAGCCCCATGCTAAACTAGCTAAAAAATTCAAAAAACCAACCTCTTCCCAAACGAAGCCTATGATTGACGGAGAAAATGAAGCATTAAATAGTTATTGATAAGAGAGTATGATCGTGTAGTGTTCCATAATAATTAAAAAAAAAATAATTTATTAACTTTTTTGAATCATTTTACTTCTCTACATTTTATGCACTTAAAAAAAAAAAAAAAAACCCAAAGAATTAACTTTTTTTCCCCCTACATCTCATATTATAATACGCCATAATACACACAGATAGAAACATATATATATATAGAGAGAGAGAGAGAGAGATTACGTACGTACCGTTAGCGAGATCAAGCAGGAAATCAGCAGGATTCATGGGGAAAGACGGCGAGAATCCAAGAGAGTGAAAATAAGTCATAGCCTCAGACCCTTTTCCAAAATAAATACACCTCCCCTCGGACAACACCAAAACCGACTCAAACATCCTATACACCCTACTCGACGGCTGATGCACCGACATCACCACCGTCCTCCTCCCCTTCTCCGCCATCTCCCCCATCCTCTCCACCAACCTATACGCCGCCGTGGAGTCCAAACCCGACGTCGGCTCATCCAATATCAACAAACTAGGGTTTATCAACATCTCATGCGCTATGCTCACTCTCTTTCTCTCTCCTCCCGATACCCCTCTTATGAAGCTGTTCCCTATTATCGTGTTCTCGCATTTCGTCAGTCCCAATTCCGAAATCACCGATTCTGCCATCGTTATTTTTTCATTTTTTGACAGTGTGTTTGGTAGTCGGAGGATTGAGCAGAAGACTAGGGTTTCGCGGACCGTCAGGTGAGGGTACAGGACGTCGTCTTGTGTCACGAACCCGGTTCGTTTTAAGACCGGTTTTGTCAGTTTTCGGTTGTTCGCGAGGACTGATCCGCTGAACCCCTGTCCTTGGAGTCTGCCTGCGAGTGCGTTTAACAGCGTTGATTTCCCGCTCCCTGATGGGCCTAGAACGGCTAGGATTTCGCCTGGGGATACTTTTCCGGTTATTCCGTTTAGGATTGTTCGTTCTGTGATCGTGTCCGTTGATCTTGTGGGACCACCACCACCGGTCAACATCTTTGTGAAGTTGTCGCCTGTGCTCCTCTTCTCCAATTTTAGCCTATAACACACGTCTATGAACTGCACACCAAAATAGAAAAGACCAAAAAAAAAAAACAGAAAAAGCACAAGTCAATTTTCAAGTTCAAGTCAAGATGTTTGACTCTGACAGTCCAAAAAAAATTTAAAACAAAGAGACACACACTCTCTCTCTCTACCTTGAGGGTGATTGGGTAACAAGAAGCCATTATGTATTGCAAGGTATGAGAATCTCGAGGAGAGTCTTTGGATGGGTCTGCATTTGGAGTTTCTACTCCACCCAAGGATGGCATTTTTTTTTTCTTTTTCTAGGTGGGTAAAAGAAATAGTGGGAAAATGAGAGAGAAAGTAGAGGGAAATTTTTTTTGGAGGGAGCAAGTGAGAGAGAGAGATGGGTATGAGAAGATCTGAGAGGTGTAGAGCAACCCCTATTTATTTGGTTTTTAGCTCCCAATGCCTGCCACGTCAAACTCAAACGTCTCACAGTGCATGTGCTACGTGGCAACCACAACAGCCACCTGGCCTTTTCTAAAGTTAGGATTCAACTCAACTACACAATAGTACATTTATTTTTTATGATATTTTTATATTTTAACAACACCGGAGTTCGAAAAATTAAAGGCTCGAATGGTTCAAAATCTAAAACGACGTCGTTTTAGGATTTTTTTTTATTCTCTTACCGGTAAGATAACATTTTCCGTACCATTTGAGCCTCATTTTTTCGAGTTACGGAGCATTTTTGATATTTTAATTGTGTGCACTTACTTGTTACTGTAAAACTAACCCAATTGAGGGCCCTTCCACCAGCCAAATGTCTTTTCTCAATACATTCTCTCTCTCTCTTTAACTAAGAGAGAGAATGAAGTGATACTTGCTCAAAAACAGAAAGGTTCAAAAACAGAAAGGTGAGGATGTATACTGACGACTCGTCTGCAAATAGGTTATTTTAATAATTTTTTTATTAAAATATAAGATAAAAATTAGTATGTTTAGAAAAGAGAAAAGAAAAAAAGATGTGTAAAAATAAAAAAAAAAAATAATTTTTAACTTTTTGATATATGTTGTTAATTTTTTAATTTTTTTAGTGACATTTTAATTTTTAAGTTAAAATAGTAAATTGCCAAATGAGGCCTCCTGAATTCATTAATACAACTTTCTTTGCTATGGGCTCGTTTGATATATTATTTTAGTTGTTTTTTTTTTAAATTTTTTTTAAGTTATTTTAATTTGATTAAAAAAATTATATTTGGGATAATAATTAATTAATTTTTTTATTGTAAGAGAAAAAAAAATGATTATAATTTAGATATGATATTTTATCTTATTAACTATTTTAATCTATTTTATCTTTTATTGCTATTTTGTCTAACCCAACTTCCCAAACATCCCCTATATGTGATGATAGAGCAATTTTGCATGAGAATAAGATATATGTCATATGGTGTCTTCTACTATTATGATTAATATTGATAATAAGATCGATTATATTTATATTGGATGTTTGAGGAGCTATAAAAATATATACATTTGTGATTAGTAAAATGTATTGCTACATAATATCTTATTGGTATACAAAATTTTTCATGATGATGAGACTTTGAAAACGAGAAAGATTACAAATAAGTGGAATGATCAATTTTAATTACAGCAATAGTATACAAAAACTATGAAGGGATAAAATCTACTTATTCAATTCAGAGCATTTATGCTTTATAAAAAAATATATTGTGAAAAGTTTCATGAAATTTTTTCGCATTTAGATTAGTTTGTTATATTTTATTATATATTATGTAATTATATATATTAAGTATCATTACAAGAAAAAACACTTTTGGCGACTAAATTTTTAGTCGCCAAATGTAGAATTTTCACTTTCCCCGACTAAATATTTTAGTCGCCGCTGTGGTCGCAAATACATGGTCACGAATACCTTTGGCGACTAAAGATTTCACTACAAGAAATGTCACTTTTAGCTACCAAAATATTGGTAGCCAAAAGTCACTTATTTAGTCGCCGAAACGATTTAGCGACCAAAAGTTTTCGTCGCTAAACTCGTCGCCTTTACCCTGTCGGCGATAGTATTGGCGACTAAAATTTGTTTAGTCGCTAAAAGTGTACACATTTGGCTACTAATCTTAGTTTAGTCGGCAAAAGGTATGTTTCCGCCACTAAAGTATTAGTCGCTGAAAGTGCACATTTGGCTACTAACTTGTTGTGGTCGGGGAAGGTATCACTTTTAGCTACTAAATAATTGGTCGCCGAAAGTACACATTTAGCTACTAACTTGTTTTGGTCGGGGAAGGTATCACTTTTAGCTACTAAATAATTGGTCGCTGAAAGTACACATTGGGCTACTAATCTTAGTTTAGTCGGCAAAAGGTATGTTTTGGCTACTAAAGTATTAGTCACCAATAGTTTCTTTCTCTCATTCTCAAATCTTTTAGCTACTAATTATTTGGTGGCAAAAACGTTTTGGGTTATGTTTTTGCTACTAAATTATTAGTAGCCAAAACTTTTGATTCAACTCTTCAGCCGGAGTAAAACATCTCGGCTGGAACCTCGCAGTTGAACAAATCATCAACTTTTCAGCCGGAGTAAATCATCTCGGCTGGAACAGAAGAGTAGGCCCCTTATCCACTATTATTTCGGACACAACAAAGCTCTTCAGCAAAAGTAATTCACTTCTATTACATTGACAAAAAGAGTATTTGCATTCAGAAGTGTTGGGGAAACAAGTCCCTCAAAAAATTACATAAGGCCGCATTCCATGGCCGGGGTACGCCTTTGCCATCCAAATCTTCTAAGTTGTATGCCCCCTTGCCCGGTTATCTTGTAAGGCTCCTCCTAGTTTGCCCCTAGCTTGCCTTCACCCGGCACTAGTGCATTGCCCATGACTTTCCTTAAAACCCAGTCGCCCACTTGCTCGTTTCCTTCGAGGTTGTCTCCGCGGTGGACGTCGCCGCATCATCCTCTACTCGGATGTGCTCATTGATGCGCTGCATTAGGTGCCACATGGATGTCTGCTGGTTCATTGTAAGCGAATCCCTCAGCCTATGTCCTAGCGGGAGACCGCGCTTGTATTGCGTGATTGCAAGGTTGACCGGGCAATCCAAGATCTCGTTGAAGGTTTCCAATACCTCGAGTTGTATGCCTTCAGTGTGTCGCTCGGTTCCATCTTGACACTAAGTAAATGATCGACTTCCTTTGGTGTTTTTGTGTTGGTTTTGAAGCGCGTAACAAACGCCTCGGCCAACTGATGCCACCTTTGTATGCTCCCTTCCGGCAACCTCTCGAACCACTTTAGGCCTAGCTCGCCTAAACTTGACGGGAAGATTAGGCACATAAGTCCGTTATTGCGCCAATGTCCGGCCATAACCTGTCGGAAGTGGCTCACATGCATGTACGGATCGGTTTTTCCGTCGTAAAGTATGAACTTAGGCTGGTGGAAGCCTGCCGGAAGCGGCGTTGTTTCTATTTCCAGGGAAAAAGGAGTGGCAATCAGCCTTGCCAAGTCTGTATCTTCGAATATTGGCATTGCTTGGCGGGGTGGAGGCATTCCGACCTCCTCGCTGCCGTGAACCCCGTAGGAGAGCCGCTGGAAAGCAGGTATTCTCTGAGCTTCGCGCCGGCGAGCCCGCTCCCTTAACACTGCCCGTAGGTCCTCTGACTGAGCAGAATAAGAGTACCTCGACGTCGTCGCCGGACGTGAGGGTTTGTAAGTGCTGTCTTGCGCGCTAGACTTTTCTGCACGCATGTCGGAATCACCAACCTGGTAACTCCTGGTGATGGAAATGGACTGAGTACGTCGCTGACTCTGATCGCCTGACCGGCGGGATGGGGTGCGCTCACTGTGGTCTCCCACTCCAGCTACACCTTTCCCTTTGACATGCCGCTTAAGATCCTCCATCTCCGTCGTCATCCGCCTGATGACAGCGTCATGGTCCCTTAACTTGCTTTCCAGTCGCCTGGCGTGTGAGTCTCTCCGCCGGTGACCGTCTGGACTCCGTGAATGCCCATGACTCCTTCCGCGCTTTTCCCGCGCGTCTCCTGACTGTCCTCCAATGGGCGTCCCCAAGTCAGCCATTGGGTGGACGACAGGAGGTCCCTCTCTCCTTCGGGTATACTCCGGGGTGGATCCGTCGATGGCGGACAACGGGAACTCGTCGTTATTCGCCATGGACGGCGATCAGATGAACCTGGAAGACAAGGTTTTGTCTGAAAAGTTCCCACAGACGGCGCCAATTGTACGGGGAGCAAATATTCAGGCGTGCCCATATTCCTTTCTTCCGAGCTCCGTCGATATCCGATCACCTGCGGGCAATGGTGGTTTGGGGTTTAGTGTTGGTGGCGGAGAAAGGGGAGTGGGAGGTCGATGGTCATGGTTGGTGTAGAAAGGAAAGGGAGGCCAAGCAGAGAGGCGTTGAGCGGGGGAGGGGGATCACATGAGGGAAGGTGCAGGTAGGTGGCTGAAAATGTTGGGTTTGATTTCAATTTTTTGGATTTAATTTTTTAAAAATTGAATTTTTTTGATTTTTTATGTTTCTGCTATCCCATCTGTCAGCATAGACCTTGCTGAACATCACCTAATCTCAACTGCCTGACTTCACAGCTGGAGCTCGGCAGCCGAGCTGCTCTACCACGGCCATGCCATGCTTCATACCCATGCGCCTAACCGGACAAACACATGGAGGACCGGGCTAGGCGGCATCCCGGCAAAGCCTAGCCCGGGTACCTCCTTTGGTCGGCCTTCCTGCCGGTCAATCAACTACCTCGACTGACCACGTCTTTCCGGGCGCCGGTCACTCGGTCTGTCTGGCTTCGACCATCCTCGGACCGAGCATCCTGGTCCGACCGGTCACTTCCTGGCCGAGCAGTTTCTGTTCGATCCGGGGTGGCACACACTCAGTCTAAACTCTGCCCGGTCCAAATCTGTCCGGCACAACTCTGCCCGGCCCAAATCTGTCCGGCACAAAGTCCATATCATTAATCTCCCTCTCAGCCACCTAATTAGTGGGAGCACTAATTAGTGCTCCCAAGCATTTTTCTTATTTTTTATGATATTTTTATATTTTAATTGTGTGCACTTACTTGTTACTGTAAAACTAACCCAATTGAGGGCCCTTCCACCAGCCAAATGTCTTTTCTCAATACATTCTCTCTCTCTTTAACTAAGAGAGAGAATGAAGTGAGAGTAAAGGTGCTACTTACTCAAAAACAGAAAGGTTCAAAAACAGAAAGGTGAGGATGTATACTGACGACTCGTCTGCCAATAGGTTATTTTAATAATTTTTTTATTAAAATATAAGATAAAAATTAGTATGTTTAGAAAAGAGAAAAAAAAAATGTGCAAAAGTAAAGAAAAAAGATAATTTTTAATTTTTTGATATAAATAATTAATTT